GGATCCGCTGCCTACTTTGCACTGGATAAGATTTTGGATCCAAAGAAACACATGGCCATTTAACAAAGACTTGACTGACTGACCTAAATTGCAATTACTGAACTAAAAAGCTTCTAAAAGAAGGAACTGAACAATAAGGAATCTGAACTAAAAGAAACTACACTACCTGTTATAACAAGGGTGGACACTTTATGTTTGAAACAAAAATTGTACTATAATATCTCTTTAATTTTGTATTAAACAGTCTGTTCATTATTCTTGATATGGTTGTTTGTGCTCATTATCCTCCTTTTTGAACTTAGAAAGATAGACCAACTGTAACTTCAACATTGAAATCTAAGTTTTCTCAACTTATCTATTCATAAGTTAAACTAGTTGGTTACAGTTTTTCAATTCATAACAGACACAATGGGAGCCTGCCTAATACGCCAACATGAGATGCAGTTTCTCTTACTAGTATCTGTGTGTGATACCAGACATCATCATAAAGGGATGATTAGACGACTAAGATATACACAGGATTATTGTTTCAAAATAACACTAACAAATGGAATTATAAAAAAGAAAAAATCAAAATAAACCAAAAATAACAAAAAACAAAACAAAAATCAGACAATCTGAAATTTTTTTTTCTTCTTTTGTCTCATAGTTGAGGAATATCTATGATGACAATTACAGGCCTCTCATCTTTTTAAGTGGGAGAACTTGCACAATTGGTGGCTGACTTTGTCACATAAATTGCGTTCCCTCTGATTAACCGTAATTACTTTCTAGATTTCGAAAAATGCATTTTGACTTGACAAAACTACATTTTGACTCCGGAATGATAATTTAAGATATCTGAGGTTTATATGAATGGGTTAATATTTCAGGAAAATAGGGAGGGCATGCAAAAATCGGTAGGCTAATAATAAGCTGTGCAGGTTCAGAAATTAAAATGCATCCCCCCTACATGAATAGACCAGACAGTTAAACGTGATATAAAATGTTCTGCACAATGGGCCTCTGTTATCAGTGTGTTTTCTCATCGATTTTCTCATCGTTCGGTCCTCCAGCGTCCTCGGCGACGGGTCCTCCAGGGTCTTCGGCGACGGATCCTCCAGGGTCTTCGGCGACTGATTCTCCCTCCAGGGTCTCTACAAATTAGATATATAGATATATAGATATATAAATATCTATGTCTAGACATAGATATCCACATCGATAGATTGACGTGGATAACTGTGTCTTGATAGATATCCACATCTATCGATCACATATCTCTTGACAGACAGATGACAGAAAGACGTGCATATCGATCTCTAGATATCTATCTATAGCTACATCTAATTTGTATTTGATGGGTATTGTCTACATTCCCTGCAAAGGAAAATCATTCGTGACGCAATGACTGCTGAGGGCCTACATTCAAAGGCTCTGGTTCAGTCGATCAATGACGTCAATCTGTGACGTATGATGCGGGCTTCAAGTGTGCTATGGCAAGCCGTTTTCACATAAATTGCGTTCCCTCTGATTAACCGTAATTACTTTCTAGATTTCGAAAAATGCATTTTGACTTGACAAAACTACATTTTGACTCCGGAATGATAATTTAAGATATCTGCATTTACATTCTGACTAGTAAGAATAATAATTCAGGATATCTTCAATTACATTTTGACTGGTCAAAATTCCTTGCAAGATATCTCAAATGACGTCACTTGTTCTGTAACTTGACGAGACACGTAACCGGAATTATGATTTAAGATTTCTTGAACGTAATTATTACTGTCAAAATTACAATTTTAGATATCTGAATTCTGAATGAGGTGAAAGCCCCTTTGTGCTGTCCGAATAGTTGCCTGCAGAATTTTATATTTTCAGTAAATGCCACAAATAAATCTCACGTCATTTGGACTGGTTAGAATGTAATTATCTCAAATAGGTATTTTGTCCAGTAAAATTTTAATTAGAGATATCTTAAATTGCTAAAACGTCTGGTCATAAAACAATTTGAGATATCTGGAATCTAAGAGCAGTGAAACCGACTTTATATCAAAAAGGCTTGCCATACACAGAAGGGCGACAGGTCTTTGACGTCAATCTGTGACGTATGATTAAGGAATGATCATCTGTGAAGCACAATGCATATCTGTGACCATCTTTGGACGTTGGATCTATAGGTCCTGCTAAATCTGTGTGGACCATTGCTAGTTCTTTAGCTCTTGCATCTGGCTCCTTGTTAGTTTGAACAAATTTTACTTTCGTGCAGACTTCACGATATGGCATTGGTTCACCTCTCCTTTAATTTCCATGCCATGCACAACATTTTCTAGCTTCAGTACATCTCTGTAATTGCAATGTCCAAGAATCTCATGCCAACCTTGTAAGTCATAACATTTTTTACACTGAGCTCCACATCCATTGTCCGTCGTTTGGAAGTAATACAATGTGTTACCTACGTGAATGGGGAACTTGGTATCGTCTCTGAGAAGAACGTTCTTTCTTCTTTGAAGATCACCGTTGCTCCGCTGGATGTTGCAGCTTTCACTGAGAAGATGTCTTGCGGATATGAAGGGATGTACAATTTGTTCCTCAGCACTGTTTTAAGACGTCGACCTAACGCGTCTCCTCGTTTCTTGGCAACACCAAAACACCTGGATCCATCAGCCAATTCCACGCAGTGCGTCTCGGCCTGGAAACTTTCATCAAGCTTCCGAAACTTCCCGATGTCGGTGATTATATGCGACGTCGCACCAGCGTCCACCATCAGACCTCTCCTCTTGATGTCGTCCACTCGCGTGTCAGCGTCGCTCACCGGAAAGCAAACTCTCTGTCGCCGCCCGCATTTGAATACTTAGTTGGTTCCTTTTTAGTCTTGAAGTTGAAATATTTTCAAAGTGACTCATCTCAGTTAAAATAAGTCATTAATAACTTATATATAAGTATGTATCACTTCCACCTCTTCTTCTTTTTGGCAATTAAGAGTTCGTCGCACTGCTGGTGTGAAGTCAGCTTTAATGAAACTCTTTAAAGTTGTTCTTATTACAGCTTCAGTTTCCCTGACACCAACACCACCGTCGAACTAAAACACAACGTAAACTTAGTGAGATGGTGTCAAGAATACAATATCGATAAAAAATAACATAAAACATATAAACATACCTCGCTGGCTAACCCTTCCTTTTGAGGTAGAAATGAGGTCATTCAGTAAATTCTTACACTTAAATCATGTTTCTTCATTTGCTTGCCAACGCGATGCTGTTATATCGCAAGCGTCTCTGGTAACCTGGTAACCAGACGCTTCTACATCTACTTCCTACCTTAAACCTTCAAAATAAGAGTCTTAACAAAAAGAATAAATAATACAAAATAAAACCTATAAATTAAAACTTTGGCAGTAAAAGTATGTATTTTATGTATTGTAACTATATATTATATGAACTAGCAATGTAGGTAGCTAATTTACATTTAAATACTATAAAAATACTATAATGAAGACTTAGAAATATATTTTGTTTTTATATTTCTATATCATATATCACCGACACGGCGCTGGAATTGAAAAATTCAGGGCTTCAAGGAAAAGAATAACGAAGATGCCCGCAAAGAAAATCACAGACATCTCAATGAGATCGCAAAGCACTGGGCCTCGTCTACTGACAACGCAGTGGACGTCGCGCGTCGTCTTTTGTTTTCTAACATTTAGAAACATCGGCCGAATTAATAAATAAGGCTGTCTCAAATGGCAATGTTAATAATCTCGTTATTTGGTTGGAGGTCAGTTGTTCTGGATTCAGTTTAAGAGAGTCGGTGCTTCATTCTGACCTTTTCCTGAACGCCAGAGGTTCAGTTTCCTTCTCCTCATTTTTTCTGAATCTTCCCTTTAAATGTTAGGGGTTGGAGAGATGGTATTAAAAGAAAGGCAATATTTATGTTTTTGTAAAAATGCTAAATCGAACTGCATAGTTTTTACAAGAAACTCACTGATGAGGCTGATGAGAGCTTCTGGTCCAATCAATGGAGAGGAAAAGTTATTGAGCGCAGAGGGCCTACATTCAAAGACTCTGTTCAGGCGGTCGATGACGTCAATGGGTGACGTAAATGACGTCACCCACTGACGTCATTAACATTGAAAGATCCTTGAATGAGTATCCCATCTAAGGATGACGTCACCAGCGACCAGCTGAGCCAATCAGAAGCAGCTGACCGCCCACTGCTCATTAACTACAGTGATTGAATACTTAGTTGCTTTTTTCTTTTTAATTATTAAACACTTTGAACCATTTTACAAGATCACGTGACGTTATTACACTTAAGTAATAAAATCTTACAGGCTAAAGACACACACATCATTTTAAGACAATAACATCATAACAAAATTGTTCAATAAAAATAAATGAATAAAATGTGAAATACTTTCCATTTTGGTAAAAGGAGAATTTAAGGTTCTCCACACATAAGGTCACATATAAAATACATACTTATATAATGTATAAGTTATTAATGACTTATTTTAACTGAGATGAGTCGCTTTGAAAATAATTCAACTTCAAGACTAAAAAGGAACCAACTAAGTATTCAAATGCTATAGTTAATGAGCAGTGGGCGGTCGCCTGCTCCTGATTGGCTCAGCTGTTCACTGGTCACGTTTTCCTTGAATGGAAAACTCCAACCCAGAATCAACGTCACCGATTGGCGTCATTGACCGCCTGAACAGAGTCTTTGAATGTAGACCCTCTGCGCTCATTTGGTCACTAACCATTTGCTTTGTCTTTCAGGTAAAAACTTAAAAAACACTAAAAACCTTAAAGATAGGATAGGTTATCCTTTCTTAAATGATCAAGCATCGATATGCAGGATCAACAGATCATGTTTCGTCCGGGTCTTTATTTACAGTCATGTATGTAAAGGAGGATGATATTTGATCACTGGACTCTGATACTGATCCGTTGTCACGGCAATTTGTGACGTGTCACTAATATCCACGAAGATTTTTTGGTGCCACTTCAATATGCCGTGAGATGCCAGTAACATCACTCTTCCTTACCAAAATAACATCCTTAATAGTGAAAATGAAGTTTACCGTCGTCGTCAGAAGGGGGTACTCACTTTAAGGTCAGGAGCGAGGAACAGTTTTCTGTAATATCCTCTTATTACCCATAGATGGCTCTCATTGAGCAACATGAAGAGAATAGAGTGATCTACGTCACATCCGTTCGGCGCAGAGAGAGATGCAAACATGGCGGCGCTAGCGGAGAAATCAACGAAGGAGCGTCTTCTTTCTGTTCTGGACGACTTAGAGGTTTTATCCCGGTAAATTTGAACTTTTTGAGTTTTTTAACTCGTTTTGTTCCACGTTGTTCTTATTTCCAATTACCTTAAAATTGGAAGAAACAACCGAGGGCTATTCGCTTGGCGGGTCAGAACTGTTTTTACCGGACTCTATTGCAGAAGTGATTTAAAAAATCACAATTTAGCGACTTCTGGTCGCTTAAACACTTAACCCTGCTTCATAATAATCTGTCCACGGTTTCGTACATTTGACGAATAAACTGCGGCGGGTGTTTGATGGAGTCTGCGTACCCTGGGTAACAAATCTTCGACTGTTTTTATTACAGGGAGCTGATAGAGATGTTGGCTCTGTCCAGAAGTCAGAAACTTCCTCAGCCAGGAGAAGACACGCAGGTAAACTGTTAACCATGTCACACGAGAGGATGTATCACACTTTGGATGTAAGAGAGAGCAGTCAGAGAAGCATGTAACTCTTCAATAAAAAAGGATGCTAGGGGACTTTTTAAACCAGTGGTGTCCAAAATGATGCTCCCAATTTAAAAATGGTACAAATTTGATGTCTTAGTGTTGGCTTTTGATAGAAAATAACTATTTTTCTTCTATTTTTTTAGGGTGGCATTTCTGCTGACAAATAGAAAATATGTGAAAAGTGAAGACTGTGTGTATCAGAGTTCTTATATGTCAACCTCTACGTTGATGTAGTGCAGCTAAATGAATGTATGAATAACGTAAATAAAATAGTAAATGGTTAGGTGAGACTTCCAGCTCCTTCCATTCACTTTGTACACAACAACACTCAAATTAAGTATCTGGTTACTCAGGTGTCTTTTTATTAACTATGCTTTTTTTTCCATTATTGGCTCATTGTTTCTGAGTTTGTGGCGTAGGTCAGTTCAGTTCTGGCGTATTTAAGGAGGGTTCGCTCTGTCCTCAGATCTTGGAGCTACTCGTACAGAGGGACAAGGAGTTCCAGGAGCTGATGGAGGTGGCGCAGCAGCAGGGCAAGGTCCACCAGGAGATGCAGCTGCTGGAGAAGGAGGTGGAGAAGAGGGACAGCGACATCCAGCAGCTGCAGAAACAGCTGAAGGAGGCAGAACACATCCTGGTCAGAAGCAGTTATTTTGTCCTTACATTCCTGTTGAAGGGGCAGTATTATTCACTGCTCCTTTGTTGAGCTTTACTGTGTGTTATTTTTTTATTCCTTCATCAAAAAGACTTCATTCTTTCATTCATATTCGAGAAATCCTTTCATGTCCACGGCAATCATTCAGCTGAGAAAAATGAATGGGTGGACCTTGCTCTGCTTTAGAGGATGAAGCTTTGTCTTAGAGCTCAAGTTTCCAAGCTTCCCCCTCATAGATTAAGACTCCCCCAGTCAGGTCTTTCAGACTATCCAGCAGCAACTAGCAAACATCTGATGGAACTAATCAGCTGAGCTCATTATATGAGCTACTTCTCAGTGAAACACTGGTGAAAACGTTGTTAAAGTGTTAATAGAGGAGTCATGTTGCGATAACTTTCTGAGGCAGAGTTTCACAAAGAACAGGAGCTTCTCAAAGAGACAGAGTTCCAATTTCATGGTGTGAAATTATTTAAGTCACATTTGATATATTTAGATATATCATTTTTGCAACAACTGAAGGTAAGATAGTTACCTGATATTGCTATAAAATAACACTACGACAGGAAAACACACATTTCTGCCCCTTTAATAACAATATGACAGTGGAACTGACAGTGTGACTTGTTTTCCATTTTGTGTTTTATTTTTTGTGTTTTTTTCCCCAAAGGCCACAGCTGTTTACCAGGCTAAAGAGAAGCTGAAATCCATCGAGAAGGCCAGAAAAGGTGAGCAAAGCTTTCTGTGAATATTTACCATTTAGATTTTTACATTTTTTTTCTCTGTCTCTTCCTGAAACTCTCCATACTTTCTCGTTCAACGCAGGAAGCATATCTTCCGAGGAAATCATCAAGTACGCTCACCGAATCAGCGCCAGTAACGCCGTGTGCGCGCCGCTCAACTGGGTGCCAGGTGAGAACCGGCGTCTCCTTTTGGTAATTTTGGTGTTTCTGTTCTGTTACCTGGAGTTGCTAACGGGAACGCCGCACGCAGGTGACCCGCGCAGACCGTACCCTACTGACCTGGAGATGCGCAGCGGGATGCTGGGACACATGGCCAACCTGCCGTCCAATGGGATGAACGGACATCTGCCAGGAGACGCTCTGGCTGCAGGACGGCTACCCGGTCAGTTTACCATGGAGGAACAGGAAGAACTGGAGACCAGTTCTGATGTTAGAATCAGACAAAATGGGCCGATGGTGACAGAATTACTATTCAGCCTGGAGAAATGTGGAATTAAGATTCCAGATGGAAAAATATGTGTTCGGACTGTATTTGGTATCCAGTTCTATAAGACTTCCTTCTTTTATTTATTTATTTTTTTGCTTGCTTTCTTCCTTCACTCCTTTATTTCTTTCTTGACCAGATGTTGTGTTGTTTCTCCTCAGACGTTCTGACACCTCACTACCCCTGGCAGCCATCAGACGTCTCAGTGGGGATGCTTCCCCCTCACCATGGAAACGACTTTGGGCTGGAGCCGCCGGGTCACAACAAGGAAAACGAGGACGACGTGGAAGCCATGTCCACAGACTCGTCCAGCAGCAGCAGCGACTCAGACTGAAACAAAGACACTGTGTTTGTGTGTATGTGTGTGTGTTTGTGTGTGTAATGTTAGGCAACACTTGAACATATATTTTCTCTCAAGGTTTTTTAACACCTGACCTAAAGCGTGAATCATTTCTGGAAAGGTGAGGTTATGAAGCGCCGCTCGTTTCCACTCTGTGAAATGCTGAAAACCTTTAACCCACTCTGTTTCTGTCGCCACGGTGATGCTGTTTTTCAGTTCACATTCACAATATTAGCTTGTGCATCACAAGCTGGAGATCAAATCACAAATTCTTCACAGTTTTTTTTTCTTTATTGAGTTTTAACTAGCACACCCTGACTGATACCTTCATCCATCTTGTTTCTGTTTCAGGTCTGATCCCAGATAATTCGCATGATCATTCAGTTTAAAAGCTAAACAGTTTCTCGATATTGAAATGAACTTACGTTATTACATAGTGCCACCTAGTGTTCAAATGTAATAACTCTCAAATACTCAGCATGTGTAGAAGTCGAGAAGTAAAATGTTCTAAACTTGTGCACGAAAATGAAACAGATTCTGCAATGTTTTTATTTAGACAACAAGATGAAGCCAAATTAAACCAAACTTCTGATTACACCTGAAGCTTTTTCTAAAGATTAAACAGGATATAAGTTGCTGAATGTATTTATTTATTTTAATTCCCTATATTTGGACTGTGACCCGCATGTGTCCACTTAAACAAAACCCGAAACTCCACCCAGCAGTCACTTTTCTACGTTTAACATGTTGCCTCATTTATAATAAATAGATCAACAGTATTTATCGTATGAATCTTGTTTGAATATCGTCATCCCTGGTTTCCTTTGGATGTTCCTCTGAATTCAAACAACAGGAGGGCTGATAGAGCCAAACAAACCAGCTTGCATTAGATTTTACAACCAGTGGGGTTGAGTCTTTGTTACAGTCAAGATTCAAGTTTCCCAATCTTCTGGTTAAACTCCAATAGCAGCAGGTTACCTGAAATGAGACAATGTTGATTATTATTATTTTTTTTTCAAACTTCAACTGTAATTGGTTTAATGTAACCCTGCATATCAAAGCTCAGAGTATTTAATGGTCTGTCTGCTCTGTGTGATTCACTGAGTTTTTGTGTTGCATAACTCTGATGGTTGTGTGTGGTACAACATGTAAATAAGCTTGTATATATTTTTCTTGTAAATAAATCATTTTTGAATAGACCTTTTTGTACCTGGTTGCTACTATCAAAGTAAGAGACTTATTTACATAAAAAATATAATAAAGGAGTGTAAATTGCATAAATCTTGATACTCTGATTATTTCATTTTGTGGATTTGAAAGAAATACCTTTCTTTATTTTAAAATTTTCTATTTTGTGGTATAAATTGTTCATAATCACCCAAAACCTTTTGAATTTTTTCTGAAACCATCTCTACACTCAATGCACTTCTTAAAGCTAATTAATAACTAATAATTAAATATTTTTATATTGATGTAATTTGGCAGATGAAAACTGCTTTTGGTCTGATTGATAAAATATTTAACCATTCAATGGTCATCTTGAAGGTTCTCATGTGTCCGTTTGTGCAAAAACTATATTTGGTGCCTATTTTTCAGCATCACTGCCAAGCATACATCAAAAAACAAAACAGAAAATCACACACTCAACAAATGAATGTCTTCATCATGGGTAAGTTAAAGCTTTCGGACGATCAAGCCAAAGTCCAGAAGAACTTTTGACGGAAATCTTTAATGTTATCTGAAGAGAGATGTGGACTATGTATTTTTTTTCATTAGAAAATATATTTTTCGTAATATAATGTAATATAATGTAATATATATATCTATATATATATATATATATATAGATATATATAGATATATATCTATATATCTATATAGATATATAGATATATATCTATATATATATCTATATATATATATATAGATATATATCTATATATCTATATATATAGATATATCTATCTATCTATCTATCTATCTATCTATCTATCTATCTATCTATCTATCTATCTATCTATCTATATATCTATCTATCTATATATATATATATATATATATATATATATATATATATATATATATATATATATATATTTTAATCTATTTAGATATTTATATGTCTCATTTTTATTTTATCAACATCTTTATCATGGGTGTGTATCCACATTATTCCTGGGAGGCTTACTGGGGAAGTAAGCCTCCCAGGAATAAGGAATAATGTTAGTTTTCATTAGTTAATTGAGTATTCACACATTTTGTACTGTCATCTGTTTGGATGCTGTAATGTCCATCTGTTACTTATTATGGGTGATGGGTTGTTTTATTGCTTCACTGTACTCTTTTCAAAATAACGGCCTGCGTTTCTGCCAGTACTTTTGTCTCCTAATTCAAACAATACTGTTTGAATTAAATACTGCTACCGGAAGTAGCAGTATTTAATTGCAATTCGTAGTTTTTAAATTTTTTTGCTAATCTATATTCACTATAGAAGTTACATCTCTCTCCTTACGGACACGCCGTCTGCTATCAGACAGTACAGAGTGAGTTTAATCACGGGGAGCGACAGGAGCACGATCGTTAAATTTTGCAATGGCATATAATCACTAAATGGTTTATTTATAATGCCATGTATAATATTTTTACCTCTTTGGAGTTTATTTGTGTACATGGTGCTGTTTCCTTATTTCCGACAGTACCTAAAGGTCACACGAGAGAAAGCCGAGTTTTGAAGCCCGCTGCGCATGCGCGTTCGTGACTTCTCGGTTGTATCGGGAGACATGGCGACGTCCCTGATTTGCGGCTGTTTGACGGCTAGCCTGAGATCTTCGGGGGCCAGAAACACTATCAGCTCTGCTTCAAAGGTAACTGCGTCACGAAACGGAAGGAAATTCCCTTGGCTTTCGTAGCATATGTCCCATTCTGTGTTTCACCTTCGCCCGACAAATGCAACTTCCTAAATAGTTGAGGGTTCAAATCTGACATTAGCACAACAATTAGGTTGTTTTGGCTAACATGCTAACTAGCGGGACTCCGGCGTTAGCACGGCTAGCTGTCAATGTTAAAGCAACATGAGCGTCCCACATAGCAAGTCGCTTCAGTCTAATTTTTTCTTAGCTTGACTCGGCACAAGGACGGGATTCTGATGCTAAAGTGCCGCGAGGAAGTTCGGTGCCCGTCCCGAACCAGCCGTTGTCCCACAGCTGGACTGGACCGTTTCATTTGTCCCATTGAGTCCTTTGGGAAAGACCTGGGGGTAAATCCTCTCAGCCTCTGTTTGGACAGACAGTTTTCACTGCTGTCTGAAAGCGCAGCGGCTTGAAAAAGCACGAGAGAGACATTGAAATGGGGGAAACATATTTAGTAGATTTAAAAACTAGTTGTTTTTTTTTCTATTTAGCGTAACTCCAGATAGAGACAAAAAATATCAATTTTTAATGTTTCTTGTTTTCATACCCTTGAACTGTTTCTCATTTTAAAATGACTCTTCCATTCGAGATGCACCAACCAGATGAGAATTTTATGTTTGTAAATGATGAAAAACATCAGTAATTTGATCTTCTTCCTCATAGTGATGCACTTCTGTCGAATTTTGCGGTTGCTATGCGACAGTAGGTGAAATGGTTCAACCAATCAAGGCGGTTGTTTTATTTTTTTTTCCCAGAGAATTGATAAACTCAGATTTATTTTTATTGTAATTCGCAGGAATCATGTGTTAATGAATGGCAGTGGCATTGCTGAAACCTGGAGGAACCTGGGGTTTTAGTAGTCCCGTGATTCACTTTAAAATGTGTTTACATTGCACTTTATTTTGTCCCCATTACGTTCAGATGTATACGAGAATTTTATAGTGTGCAACTGGTGCTTTGCAGCTGTCAAAATACACAAAAAAAGTTATCAGAATCAGCTGAAATGATTAGTGGACAATTTCTGTGTGATTTATACTGATAATTAAACTAACCAGCTTTATAACTGTGAAGTTTACCATAGGAGGAGTTTGTGTTGTTTTGCTTGGTCTGAGTGTGAAAACGGCCATGTTTGACTGTTGAAATAAATTGTAGAATTGTTCTTAAAGTAGAAACTGTTGATCATGTCAAACTCAGTTAGTCATATTATCAAAAGATGTCTTTTTAGTTGTATTTATCTGACATTTAAATTCCTATAGAAGTCTTGTGAGAAGTCCTGCTGACTCAGACTGAGTAACTTTTTGTTTCACATCCTCAGCTGGGTTTCCAGTCCTGCTTTTTCAGTGCTGCAGGCGGCAAACACGTCTCATGTGTTGCAACTAAGTTCCTGTTCACACGTCTTTTTAAAAGGAATATTGCTTAAACAAGTAGGCAATGTAGTAAACTCAGCCAATCTGACTGCTTCAAAACAACCACAGCTTCCTGATAGAAATCAAATATCATTTTTAATGTTTTGGAATATAAAGTTATTAAAATACAAGGTGTTGTAGCTTGGGAGTCATGACAAAGCAAGTATGTGGATATATTGGTGCATTATTTGTTCCAAACTGCATTGCATGGTACCCTAAATCTCCGTTTTCCCATGTACACACACATACACAAGAATTTTTTTTAATGTTCACTTTGGTTGGCGTTTTTATAAAAAAAATTTTGGGAACAGAATGCAATATATAAAAACTTATATAACTGATTATTTTTTTCCCAGATATCTGCTGACTTGCAGACTATACTCAATTCAGTTACAATAGTTTAGCTGTTTGTGCAATGTGCTATTAGTTCATTTGATCAAGATCCTGTCTTTCACACATTAGTGGAGATTGTTTTCTACATCAAAAACCAGAAAAAAAAATCACAGAATTTAAAAGAACGGTTGATGTAAAATTGACTTTTTTTTAAACTTCATATTCAAACTTTATTTTCTCATTAAAAACACACCTGGAGTGTTGGTTTGATTCTTTCATGCATGTTTGAGAAATCCTTCAATCTCCCATGGCAATCATTCAGATGTGCCAAACACCTGGGTGGTCTTAGCACGGTCTGCAAGGATGAAACTCCTCCTCCAAGTTTCAGAGCTTCTGCCTCAACCCTCCCCTGCGACTCTCTCACTCAGCTCCTTCAGACTAGCCAGGAGCAATTAGGAAATACCTGATGGAGCGGCACATCTGCTCAGCTTGTTATACCAGCTACTTTGTAGCTGGTAAAAACACTGTTGAAGGGTTAATAGAGGAGCCATGACTTCCTGAGGGTGAAGTTTCAGAAAGAGTAGGAAATTCTTAAAGAGACAGAGGCATTAAATTAGTAAGTCAAATTTCTTCCAAGTTGTATTTGATATATGTAGCATTTTTTTCAGTTTGACTTACACAAACTGGATCTAATCATAAATTCACTTTAATGGCAGCGGAAACCCAGCTGGTTCATCTTATGTAGGATCTGACACATACCCTGTCAAAACATAAACATTAAGATAACAGGAAGATCCCCATGTTTAGCTCTCATAGCAATAATTGTCTGTACTCATTGGTTGGATGTTTGTGTCCTCAGGTCCTTGGCAGCACCACGGGTCTGTTCGGTGGCCATGTGTCCCAGCTGCAGCCTCCCCACCTGCAGCAGCAGCAGAGGAACCTCTCCCTACATGAATACATGAGTATAGGCCTGCTGAAAGAAGCCGGCATCTCCGTACCGGCGGGAATGGTGGCCAGCTCCTCCGACGAGGCCTACGATGTGGCTAAGAAGATCGGTAAGAGAAAACGACAACAAAACAAAAATGTGAAGGTTAGAGGATTAGGAATGAGCAGCATCTACTAAAGATGATTTCTTAATTAGCTGACTAATTTAATATCTCCAAGCTGCAGGCAGAAAAACTATTGAACTGTAAAAGAAGGACATTGATTTTGTCCTTTGGTTCGATATGCCTGATGTTTAAATCATTGGTTAATTATTCTCATGTAGTTCTGGAAAGAAGATCATTAGAGGATGATTGGGAGCAAATATTAGATGCCTTCATAAAAGACTCTTTCAAACCGACATTTTATTATTAAAGTACAAAAGTTTGAGATGTGCTGAAAAAGTGAGAGCATAGATTTCTGAGCTGCTTAAATCTTGTATTCATCACATAAAAATTAATGTTTCTGAGGTTGTTTGTTGTCAACAATAACTGTGTTAGAAAAGGCAAGTTGTGACCAAAGAGCCAAATAGATTACAGGTTTAAGATTTAGCTTCATTTTCTAAACTTCAGAACTTTTCTGGCAATATTCTTTAGCAGTTGAGTGTTTTTGCTGTTTTTTTCCCAGTCACACGTTTTGTTCTGACATCTTTTTTTGTTAGGCTCCAAGGACCTGGTGGTGAAAGCTCAGGTTCTGGCTGGAGGCAGAGGGAAGGGGACGTTTGAGGGTGGGCTGAAGGGAGGAGTGAAGATCGTTTACTCGTAAGTACAGCCATGACAGTCAAACTTGTTCCATTTTTGTCACTCCAGAGTGTCATTAATAACTTCAACGTGAATGTTGTGTAATGAAAGAAACCTTGAATTAGTTATATTTTCTACAAATCTGTCTGAAATAAAAACTAATATTAGGTTGTTGAATATTCTACCAAGTCTGCAGAAAAAGCTAGAAAGAATATGGTTGTTGTTCTTGTGCTGGTAACATATGGAAGAGATTTAGGGCTACCCCAAAAAAATTTGACTCACCAAATTCTGAGATTGTTTTGACTTTTTATGATCAAATCAAGAGTTTAAAGTTTAAATTTTTTTCAGTGACCTTAATCCTCTTCCACAGTGACAATGCAACCTCTACATATATAGATATTATCAGAAAAAAAAAGTTTTTGGACTTACTGATGGTTTATTTAAACGATCCCAATCATCCTCCTCTTTAAATTCTCCTCCTTTGGTTTTCCCTGCAGCCCAGAAGAGGCTCGGGAAATTTCCTCTCAGATGATTGGTCGAAAACTGTTCACCAAACAGACCGGGGAGGCGGGTCGAATCTGCAACCAGGTGTTCATCTGCGAGCGCAGGTACCCGCGCAGAGAGTACTACTTCGCCATCACCATGGAGAGGTCTTTTCAGGTGAGACACTGTGGTTAAATAAATCTGCTTTATTTAACCACCTGAGCACCTGAACCACTTACAGTTGACTTTTTAAGCAGTTGTTTTTCTTTGGATATGTCACATTTCTACAAATTCAGAAATGAAATGAACCTGCACAAGGTTTTGCTGACTAAAGTGGATTATCACCACTAGGGGGCAGTCTTGTATTAAAAGTAAGCCTAAGTCATTCATACATTCTATGTGTTCATTACATGAGGAGTTCCTGAAGAAGTGTTCCTGATTCAGATCAGTTAAACACAGCGGGGGCAAAGTGTGAACATTTTGGATATTAAATCTTTAATTAACCAGACTTGAGATTATGACCTAAAACTAATCTGCTGCTCTGCCAATCATTCAGCAGGGGAACATCTCCCCTGTTGAAGTGGGCAAGGCTTCACACACTTCTCTAATCTTGAGGGATCCTGAGAACTTCCTGTAGAATAACAGGTTTATTATTATAATTATTATTATTGCTGCTATATTTAGTCCTGGGTTCTTATTATTGCTCTTATCTGCTGCAGAGGAAAACAGCAGGGATGTGTGCCAGAGAAGTGGCATTTCAGTCAACTCATGTTGTTACATTGTGTTATTGATGCAGCTGTTTGCGTTCACAATCAGTCCGTTTCAATGCTGAAGTGATTAGAGTATTGTGGCGTAACTAAATGCCCTCTGATGAATTGACAAGTCATTTGCTTTGAGTCTGCGTTAAGAACATGCTATTCTGTGATAGGAATGTCGTTTTGGGGGCTTTGTTTACTGAATAATGTGGCTGTTTGCTGGTTTGACTATTTTTATTTTATTTTACATTTACTACTTGATCTTGAGAGTGTATTCTCTTGTTTTTTTGTTTTTTTTAAATGTGAACGATCAACATGCTCACAAGTATGTGGGAGGAAAATGAAAAGAGGTTTCAACACTATTAAGGCACCTTCGTCTGTTAGAATGGCCCAAACAAAGTCAGAATTTGAGAAAGCGACTGCTTGTCACTCGGCTCCATAGAGGAACTTATTGATAAACCAGTGTGTCAGCTGTATTGAGATGTGAGTCCTCTCTAAAGGTTTTTCACATGTACCGACACGAGAACCAATGCCTTCCTCTTGTCTCCCAGGGTCCTGTGCTGATTGGCAGCTCGCAGGGGGGCGTGAACATCGAAGACGTGGCAGCAGAAAATCCAGACGCCATTGTGAAAGAGCCCATCGACATCGTAGAGGGCATTAAGAAGGAGCAAGCTGTCAAGGTACGATCGAAAGGCAAAACGCCGGCTGGAGACGCTTTAGCTGAGACATCGAAGAGCAATAGAGGCGGCGGTTTCTAAGTTGACGCTGTTATTGCTATGGCGATCCTACATCTAGAACAGAAAAACTAACAAACTAGTTTTGTGACCTGATCTGGGGGACCTACTCATTGTGTAATTCTAGACATTATATCAAATGTATTTCAAATGAGTATTTGTGTATAAAAGTGTATAAAATGACATACTTTGTATTTTTATGAAGCTTCTCTGAGTTGAACTGGACTTCTGTGTTTTTTCAGATCTTTCTTTTAAGATTCTGATTCATTTCTGCAACTTGCCACTTTTAAATGTTAATATATTAACTCTGATACATCTGCTAACTAAGCTATTAAACAAGCAGTGTTTTAAATTATGAAGAACTGAAAATTGTTATGCAATCTGTTTTGTGACTGAGAACAATTCGATAAGCAGCAAGAGATGATAATTGGCTGAATTGTAAAAGTCGGTTTTTACCAACACAGACTGTCGCTGTCTTAATGAAGCGAGTTAACTTTCAGGACCTAAAATGTCACACCAGCAAATAATTATTGAGTCAATAAAAGGAAGGGAAAACTGCTCTGTCATCTTGGTGTCAGATTTTATTTTTGAGGGATATTTTTCTTGCTAAAAGCTTACAGTTTACAAATCTCACATAAAACTTAATTTTATTGGTGTGAAAATGATATAAAATGTTTGAAAAACATCAAATAATGCCAGCTTAATTGGAAAACCTAATGGACCGAGGACTGAACTGTGGGGAACCTCACAGATTATCTAGACATGGTGTTTGTTTGTACACCAAGATTAGATTTAAATCATTTTAGAGCCCAAAACAGAGCAGATAATTTACACAAGTCCTATAGCTGATATATAGACATCATTTAGTTTCTCCTTTTTTCTGCCAGCTGTGGCTAAAGATGGTGAATCAAGCCAGAAACCCAAAGCAATGATGTCACCTTCTGTAACTCAGCAGGCATTGCAGCTCCTACCTGTATGAGCTGTGACGATTTGTGACGATGCGCTCTGCGTTGCCGCAGGTTGCTCAGAAGATGGGCTTCCCAGAAGCTCTGGTGGACGAGGCGGCGGAGAACATGATCAAGCTCTACAATGTTTTCGTCAAGTACGACGCATCCATGTTGGAGATCAATCCAATGGTGGAAGATTCCTCTGGTGTCGGTATGAACACGCCTGCTCTACCTATCACACTTCCAATATTAATCTTCGACAGGACCAGGAAATGCATAAGAACCAGAAATTTGTTCTTAATCACTTTTATGCTAGATTAAAGAAATGTATAATAATAATTATTGTACAAATAAGTGCAACAGATTTTTTGTCTTTGAATCTTGAACCTTTGAACAATTCTGTTTGGATTGATGTGCAGTTTCTTCATGAGGGTTTTCCACAGTTTTCACATTTGTTGCTCATGACTGAATCTCCTTGTATTATTAGTTCAATCATGAGCCAAGTGAAGCCTGGAGGCCCGCTAGGCTAATAGTACACTCGGGGAAACCCTGGGCCATCATTCGACGTTCCAGCAGCACAAAAACATCTCATTAAATAGTCACAGAAACGATTCACCAGAATCATTATTCACCTCCTTCTTCGGCCATTTCAGCCCACACACTTGGATCCTGTTGTAAAGATGATCTAAAGATGTTGTGCTTCACTTTTCAGAAAATTTACTGGATCAAAAGAGGAATGTATTTATTTATTATGCCTAGTTTTATTGTTATTTTCTGAGATTTATTTTAACACATTTTTACTAGACCACACTTTGGTTGCTGGAGTCCAACAATGTTATTCCATATTTTGCTTGACTCAATTGGCAGAGAAAGCTTTTTCCCAATTTGTCCATCATTATTACTAAAGATTTTTTATGCCTCTGATTATTGGCATAAACTTGGCTAAGGATGGATATGTTTACATGAATGTAATCTTCCATCGACATGCATGTGTGCCCTTCTGTAAAGGTCGCTGCTATTTTTGTCACAGCCTTACGGAAGTTAAGTCAATGGCCGTCTTGCAGGGAGAAATACGTCAGTCAGTGAAAATGTTGAAATGATCAAAAGATCAATTTCTCTTTAAACTGTGTGTGTATGCGCTAGCTCAGAGTGATGGCCTGACGCCTGGTAAATGCCGTCGTAAGAGGAGGGGAACGCCGACCTTCATGGAAAATGACGAGGATCAGTTTAGATGGCGACTGTCAACTAATTAGCCTGATTCCAAAAGTCACCTTCAAAACCTGTTGAGGGATTGTGTTAGAAAACCAATCAAATTCTTTAGTATTTGACTCGCAGGTCAAAGCCGATCCAGAAAAAGATCAGTCAGTTTTGATCATTGACCAGTTGACTGCTGCCTCTCTAGTCTTCCAACATTACTCGCCTAAAATCCTTTCTAGTATTTGTCTACGTTCACACAGGGGGCGAAAACATGAGGCTTTTTCACGGCAGTCCTAATGACCCAATTCCAATATTTTCATCCCTCCAAAACTTTTAAGTTCCTCAAAGCATCAAGTGCGGCCAAGTTTAAAAAGAACTTTAAGGTCATTTTAAAGAATGAAATGAAACTTCCTCTGGTCCTAACATGCTTGTTTGCATGAACAGTAATGTGCATGGACGCAAAAATCAACTTTGACGCCAACGCAGCGTATCGCCAGAAGAAGGTGTTTGATATGAGGGACTGGAGCCAGGAGGATCCCAGGGACCAACAGGCTGCCAAGGCTGACCTCAACTACATTGGTCTGGACGGGACCATCGGCTGTCTGGGTCAGTGGGTTTTAGTTTAGCTTTTGTGTGTGTGTAAGATGAGGGTCTTGTACTTTTTTACGTCTCTCCATTTAAGTGTTTCAAAGTGAATGTTCAGAGATTTATCAAGTGAAGTCATTCTGACATTTAGAACCAGAATCCGTTCATGACTGTTTTTTTTTTCTTTTCTTTTTTGTCAAGTGATCGTATTTTTTCAAGTGATTATTTCTAAAATGCGGAAGTTCTTTACTTGAGTGGTCAGTTTGTGATCTTCTGGTTTTATTGCAGCCTTTACTTGTTGAAACTCAATATAACTGATTCCAAATTCTCTTTAATAATTATAATAATGTAAGATGAGCATTCAAATGGCTTTTTTTCTAACCCTCTTATGGTGAGCTGTCATTGATTAGTGATATTATTTGGCATTATGTCATGTTGAGGGAGGAAAGGTGCTGTAGAGGACCTTTACTAGTTTTTATAAACTAGATATTTACTAGTTTATAATATTTTAAAGCAAATAGAATATTAACAGAAGTTAACAGAGACTGTCTTATAATCATATTGTTTTTGGGGGGTGCACCGATAAATCGGTCCTGTTTTCCTTAATTTTGGAAGATCAGCTATCAGACAACTTCATCAACTTTTCAGAGAAAAAACAAATTGCAATCGGTGCTCCCTAGGGTTAGCATTGCCAACTTTATTAAAATATCTCTTCTTGTGTAGATCCTAACTTAATTTCTGAAATTTGGCTGCCCTAGTTAAAGTTCAAAATGAAAAAGGAAAGAAAATCTGCAGTACACTGGACAAACTTCTTGTTATCTACAAACTTAAAAAGCTGCAGGGATCTCTTGAAATATTATAAAAATACAGCTTCCATTTTAAATAGCGTCCTGCGTCTCTACTTCCTCTGACGTAATGCTGAATATCTCACTGATACTGGGAAAATAGTGAAACTTCTTCTTTCTTTAATAACATCTACACTGAAGAGTGTTCAATGACAGTAAGAGGAGCATATTCTGGATCTAAATAATCTTTATAATGTCAACTCATCAAACCAATGGGCTTTATGCTCTCCAGTTAACGGTGCTGGTCTGGCTATGGCCACCATGGACATCATCAAGCTCCACGGTGGCACACCGGCCAACTTCCTGGACGTAGGAGGCGGGGCCACAGCCCACCAGACGGAGGCGTTCAAACTCATCACTTCAGACCAGAAGGTAAGAAATTCAGCTCCATGTTTTAACCTGGACAAACGTTTTACTGACTACGATGCTTCAGGATGTGTCATAATATCCAAATATTGAACAGAAATAAGGGAGTTTTTGGAGAAACCGTTTAAATTTGTTTGTACTTTATTTTCTTAACTTGTGTAGTCTAAATATTGTTCTGTGTAAAATTGTGCATTTATCCCTCATTGTGTCTTTTGTAACTCAGGTTCAGGCCATCCTAGTCAACATCTTTGGAGGCATCATGAGGTGTGATGTCATCGCTCAGGGCATCATCATGGCTGTGAGAGACCTGGATCTCAAAATCCCCATCGTAGTACGGTTACAAGGTGCGCCACACTCACAGCCGCAAAGAAAGGGGAAGCTAATGATGCTGAGCGGCACACAAAGTGGCAGCCGGGTTTCTGCAGCATGAACACTTCCCTCTGATGATTCATATTTCCATAATCAGAGCTCAACAGGCGCAGCGTGGCGCCATCAGCGGTGACTGGGGGTCTCGAGTTTGATTGTTATGGTGAAGAGGGAGTGCAGATTTCCATTAGCTAATCTCATTATAATCCTCATCTATTGTCATGAGATTTGAGATAAATAAGCAAATGGAGGCTCCTTAATTTAGTCTCCTCTGTTGTGTGTCTCGCCTGTCCTTGGAAACAGGCCAAGGAATCTAGTCATGTGACGAAGATGTTCTTAGCCGACTTCCTCTGAGGGTTTTAGTGAAAAACATGCAGAAAAGAACACAGTGCATAGGACGGCTATGCTAAATATGTATATTTGCTCTGCTGTGATGCTAGGATGGAAACTCTGGCCTTGGAGCATCTGAACTTATATTTGAATATATTTAGGTTTTAATTTTTGCAGTAAGAAAATAGACAGTGAAATATGACCTTTAATCTGGCTTCAAAGAGTGAATTGCATACAGAATTCACCATCAGCAAATATTGTGCTAGTGTTTTTCTTAGACCAAAGAAATCCTTCAAAGTTAATAAAGCTTCACTTTTGACGGGTCAGATGGACTCAAATGGTGACAGCAGCAGGGTGCAGGAGTTCCTAATTGTATTTTTTGTCATAGTGCGGTTGTTAAATATGTTTGGAGCAGAGGGGATCTTTCTGTTTACAAAATGAGCAAAACCACAAGAATAGGAAATGGAGAACGTGCAAAATCAAAGCCTAGCAAACCGCAGGCAAACCTGTCTTCTCAGTGACAGCATTCACACCACAGAGTGTTTGTTGAACATTCACTGATCAGCTGCCAAGTTCTTTAATCTGAAAATTGTCCGGCAACCAGATGATTTCTCTCAGTCCTGTTGAGGGTCGTTGACTGAAAGCAGCATGTGACATCAGTTAACAGCTTCTCTGTAATTCATCTTCAGGAACGAGAGTGGACGACGCCAAAGCTCTGATCGCTTCCAGCCCCCTGAAAATCCTGGCCTGTGACGACCTGGATGAAGCTGCAAAGATGGTAAAAACACACACTTACACACACTTGGCTCTGTCTTTGTTCGTTTGACCCGGATGTTCCGGCAAGAAACCAAGAGAAGCAAACCAGGTGCCTCAGGAAGGAGGGAGGATTCTGGGGAAGAACAATCAAATGATGGAGGTGTTGAGGATCGGCAGTCCGATCTCACTTGGAAGTGTGGCTTTACATTTCCGCATGTTTCTCTTGGGTCATAGAAAATTTTCAGTTTTCTTCTGGAACTTGAATGATGATTCAATAAAATCCTTGTGCAGAATCCTTTGAGTTTATTTTAGTAACATAACTTTCTGCCTGACAAAGTACAAAACAGTCAAAACTGTACACTGCAAAAACAAAATCTTACCAAGTAATTTTGTTTTCAGTCAGTAATTTTTAGTACTAATTCAACTGGCAGATTTTTTCACTTGGAACAGGAAGGAATGTCTGTTTATAAGTGAAATAATCTGCAGTGGATCTTGAACTTTTTAAAAATCTATATTCAAGAGGTATTGACTGAAAACAGGCTTATTTATCTTTCTGAAAAGTTATTTCTAAGTTAGTTAGAAGTGTACTAATAGAAACTGGACCAAAGATTCTTGGTAAGACTTTGTGTTTTTACAGTGTTCAACATGGTGAGCGCTGATCGCCTCTGTTCTTCTGTTTTCAGGTTGTAAAGCTTTCTGAAATCGTTTCGTTGGCGAAAGAAGCTCAAGTGGACATCACCTTCCAGCTGCCCATCTAAGGAATCCTCTCTCTTCCCTGTCGCCCCTCAACGACCTCCGTCCCCTCCACCCCACTCACCGACAGAAGGACCGACGTCTCCAGACGTGTCCGCCTTCATCTCAGTCGTCTTTCCCGATGGCAAGACTCTGAACGGCTCCCACTTCAAGCAAACTACTTCTCCACGCTCTGTGTCGTTTGCACATCTCAGTCAATCCCACAATGTTTAGTCGCACTTAGAATGAAACGCACAAGCCGCTCCCAGCTTCAAGACCCTCCTCTATTCTCCACAACTCTGAGAGAACGACTCGCAATCCGTCGGTCTGTTTACTTCCTTACTTGCTTGAAAAACCTGGTCTAAAATAGAAAGGTTATCTCGTTCACTGCCGATCACATTTAGCTTATAATCCAGTTCAGGACAGACAACGAACAATCGTTAAGCGTATTCAGATGTTTCTCATGGTCACAGACGAATTGTTCAGATTGTTTCAGACTGAACACATGAGACTTTCTGGCTTCCTGATTGTCGTTGCTTCATTGACAAATGGGAAGTCGGTAAGTTTTTTGTTTTTGTTGTTTTTAGAAGAAAGTTTGCTGGTGGTCTTTTCAAACACAAGAGTTTCAGGTGAATCTTTTAGAATTTCAAGACCAAGTCAGTATTTTTTGGTCTCTCATACGATCCAAGTTATTGCAGATGAGTTTGTCGATTTTCGTCTGGTACCCTAATAAAATCAAAATTCATTAAATAATGCTGTCAGGAAAATTACGTCAGTGTTCAGATTTATTGAACGTGTATTCGGATAGATATGTAGAGAAATGTTCAATTAAATCACAATTTGGTGATGATTTTTCTTGCAGTTCAGTTTGTTGAAATGCTAGGCTAACACACTTTATGCTATATTATATTTCAGTTTTTAAAACTGAATGGCTGGAGCTTTGACTGCTTTCTGATCAGTGGAAACAGCTGTTTATATATATATGAGCGTTAGCAGTTCAGATGCACAACAGAAACATCAGAACATCTCTGCTGCTTGAAAGTAAATTGTACATATTCTGCTTTGTCCTTTTGGTCCTTTTTGGACCTTTTTGGACCTCAAATCTTTTCCAGACTATACAACATTCTACTTCTATTAATATTAAACCGTAAAGAAGAGATATTGGATATTATCCTTAATTGTGTCCTTTGCTTTTAACTTCTCATGAGTCTGTCACAGGAAACAATCTTTCTATCATTTTTCTTTTTTTTTATATAATGCAAAAACTTAAAATTCATAGACTTGGAGTGTTTGAAGCATGTTTTTCCCTCTAGTATTTCCTAATTGACTCAAATGGTGTTCAGGAAGTAGGAAGTAAAAGCTGATGATCCCGAGTCTCACGTCTTTGTTTTTCCCTTTTTAAATCTCAAATCTCCTGTCGTCTTGAGTGCCGGCTCAAAACTGTTTGAGGAACCACTACTGTTCTTTTATGTTTTTTTTCCTTAGGTTACAAAAAAAATAGTTTGCTGCTGGACTCTTCATCTAATCCGTTAGCTGAAGAGGCCAGCTAATATTTTTTATAGATAAATAAAACCTGCAGGAGCCGTCGCACAGCAGCTGCTTCTCTTCCTTTCTGTGTCTAAGGTCAGAGTCTTGCTCGTCTGCGCCCCCCTCAGATGAACTGTGAAACAACCGTAGTTGTTTCCTCCCCTCTCCTTGTTTCTCCCCTCCACTTCCCCTGCCTCAGCGTTGCGAACACGAGCAAACATTGTGAGTTGTACGTTATTTTATCTTGTAAATAACCAGACTGCTGTTCTCACTCTGTAACATATTTATGATCCTCTGAAAGAGTTCAACATTGAAAAGAATAAATAGAGAACAGCAAGGTTTTTTTTCCATCTCCAGTGTTTTTTGTTGGTTGTTGTCTTGAATGGTTTGAATACAGAAAGCTTTATTTAAAATAAATAAATAAATAAATAAACAAAGTATAGGTTTTATGCTCTGGGACAGACATTAGTGAAAGTTTACATGGGCAATAGCCCAAGGCACCAAGTTTTGGGGGTGACTCAAAAGATATATATATATTTTTTTGTGACGAATGCTGTGCCCTCTAGATTTATATAACACTCATAGGCCCATACGAAGTTTTTTTTTCTCTTCTGATGTTACATTTTTATTAATCTGAACTCAAATATTCAAAAGCTCTGAACTTGCACTGCAACAGCTCTGCATTGTCGTGTTTGTTTCATGGAGCAGGAGAGCCTGCTGCACACCTGCAGTTATAATTGATATCAATAGATGTCACTATATGATCAATTTTAATATCACAGATGTCATATATTTATACATCTGTTTTCCATACATTCACATAATCACTGCAGATTTAAGATAATAAATATCAGTTTATCTAAAAAGTTGTATTCTAATTTGAAACGTTTTACATAGTTAAATATGGGAACGACAAAAGTCTTAACTCACAAAGAAGAAAGGTGTGAAAGTTGATTGGTTTGAAATACAGAAATTCACTGCAGATAATTTTTCCGCGTACAAAGTCAAAAATATTCACGCCCCTTCAACTTGTCCAGATTGTTACAGCAACAAACTTTCTTTTAATGCGATTTGATGTAACACCTCACAGTGGAGGCCACGATTAGGATTCACGTGTCACATGTAATCAATATAAGTTTGTCAAACATAATTTATGACGACTTCATAAACTTCATATATTGGATTAACTTAAGTTGATGACGTGTAGCAAATTGACTCATAAACTCTTTTGATTTTGCACATCTGATATGCCATCAGTTGCTGTCAGATTTTATTATTTTGTTCATGTTTTGCTATTGCACTGTAAAATTGCAGCTTGGGTTCAATAAAATCTATCTAATCTAATCCTCGCTGTGGTAAAAAAAAAAAAAAAACATCTTGAAAGATCTATTTGGAGAGTTTGTAATGACTAATATTATTAAACATCAAAGCCAAGACTTGTGAAATATTAACGAGTTAAAGTCTTCGACTTAAATTGATGTAAAATACTCTTATAAAAATCACTGGATGCAACAGAAGAGATTATTTCTTTACTTCCTGCGGTTTGTAAATGGATGCAATATCGCAATTGAAAAAAAGCAGATGGAATTATTTTGTTCTGATATATAAACATACTTTCTGTCTCTTAATTCCTGTGGCCCACATCGACTCGTCTCCCGTCTCGCTCAGCATGTCTCTCTGCTTGCAGACAGTAATGGAGGTCCAGCATCATGAGGTCCGGCTGTTTGTCTATGATAAGCTTCAGAGGGACGGTCTGCTGCCGCTGCTGCTCCTGTCTGCTGATAAGACCGATCAGCCCTGCTGGACAAAGCAGGCAGGGTTTGGGTTGTTGGTCAATTTAGCCCACTCAGAAAAAATAAACTCATATTTTATTTTATTTACTTTTGTCAGAAATGGGTTATATTGCTCTAAAGTTTCTAAACTTATATAAAAAAAAAAAAAAACAACCAGGAGGAAAATGTTCCTTTGTGTCCCAACATCATCAGCCACATGCAGAGTCCAACCTAAAATCATGGCGTATGAAATGAAGAACGTTGCTAAAAAAATAAATATACTTTATTTTTTTAAATAAACACAATCTGTGACACATGGGCAGGAAATAAGGAATGAAAACCAGTTTTTAGGTTTTATTTAAGTTATTACTGCATGAATATGTAGAATGTTTAAGGAGTGTGCATCTTGGAGAGTACTGGACTGGGAGGAATGGATCTTCTCGATTAGTCTTAACCTAATAAGCTGACATTAAATATCACCATAAGGACATAAAGCTGTTGTTAAAATCCATTTATACACTCAGCTCAAACAGTCACTGCTCAAACTTTAAGTCGATCAGAAAAGAAAATTGTGAAATTAGCCTGATTTGTCTTTTTCTAAAGAGTGAACAATCAGAGATTATTTGTGGGGTTCCTCAAGGCTTCAATCTTGTGCCTCTTTTAATTAAAATATCTACATCTCTCCTTTTTGCCAAATTTAAAGAGCATCCGCACATTAATCTCCTATAATGTTAAAGTTGAAATCTTTACATGTCTCCCTTTAGCCAAGGTTGAAGAGTATTTTGACATGTCCGATTGAGATTCCTCAGAGTGGAGTGTTTAGTCCCATTTTTATTTTATTTTTTTAAAGAAATTGATTATTTTAGTAAATTGAAAAGAACAATTGACTGAATGTGCTCCATGGGGAAATAATGCAGTTGTTGGCTAAAAGAGTTTTATAGGAAGCAGAAATTATTTCTCCTGAAGAAATGTAGTTTGAATTGACCAACTAATACCAACAGTACTGGGGAGAGTGCACTCACTGTTTATATTTATAGTTTATCAAGTTTTATGGTTTAAAAACTTGACAAGCTCATGTTGGCCGAGGATCTGACGATGACAAAGCAGTAAAGGAACTTAAAGAAACACTTCTGTAGCTGTTTGCTGTCGTCCCACAAAGAGAAGCTCAGAGTCTGATTAGAGAAAGAAAATTGTGTTGAGAACAGCAGGGCGAGATTAGACAGAGGACTGGTTCTGTTTAATATTTAGCCAGGCTGTTCAAAAGAATAAGCCTCTCGGATGCTTAGTGTTTGCAAAATATGGTTTTGAAAATGAGGAAAGGAGTAGAGGAAGTCAGAACGTTTCACATCCAAGAGTGTCTGGCAACCCTTCGGGCCTTTTGATGGATTAGGGACTCTGAGAGACGCTCGCGTTTTATCTGCTGTGGCTTTGCTGCAGCGCTGGGAGGCTCTAAGTCCTGACAATCACACAAAGTCAGATCAGAAGTGATTCCAGAAAAAAAACAGCAACTCGTTTCTGGCAGATTAGAGGCTTTATAAATTGTAATACGGAGAGAAATTTACATTGGTACCAGGTCAAGTCAACAGTGTCGTTTCCAATAGAGAACAGAATGTGTGTTTTCTCCTTAAGTCCCCCAGTCAGCAGGGTGCCAGACCGCCTGTAATCGCTACATCACACACACTGAGCCTCAGCAGGGATTTACCCTTTGTTCATTAAAATACAAAACTCTGATGGTGGGAAAAGCATCGCTGGGAGGAATCAAAATGTCAAACTCAAAGTATGTAAGAATTAGCCTAAAGTGTCTTTATAGAGCAATTAAAGTATTAAAATGAATAACTATGATGAACGAAAATATGCAATTTGATTAGTAGTATGTAAAACATGGATCAACATATCTGATGAGTATTTACTTGATGATTTTGATGATGACATTTGATAATAATAACTTTATTAATCAAGTGTTTCCATACAGAGCACTGAACAGTTACAAGGAAATAAAAAGTGTAATATTTATTGATTGCTTCATAACTCATGACTGATGTTTTTATGATGTAAAGCCCTTTGAACTGCTTTGCTGCTGACATATGCTACACAAAATAAAAAAAACAATAGAAATCTGTTGAAGAAACATTAAAAAGTTTATCACAAATATGAATGTACACTTCCGTGAAATGTTAATATTGAGCTAAATGTAATAATACATTTAGTAACGGCGTGTATTTCCCCCGTTACACTTTTATCTATGCTAATTTCAATGTTTAGTCCATTTCAAAATGATCCCTCACTGAAGGCAGTTTGTCTTTGCCAGGAGCCATACGGTTTCCTCTACACAGGAAACAACGATGTGTTAAGTTTGGCCAAGTTCTGTTTCTTTTCTCTTACTGATCTGGAAATAAACTCGCTGGGGAACATTGGTTTCTTAGGCACAGTGGTCAACAATCTAACGAGCCTTCTGAGGGGAAAGTTCGCCCACCTGAGAAAAGAAGGACGGGGGTTGGGACACCGTGGACGTCACAGATGACTGGCACTAATAGGCAAACCCCCTGACGGCAGGTGTCACTGTTAAACATGATGTTATTCAGGAAGCTGGAAGAAACTGTATTCAGTCTTGTAACTCTGCCTAACCAAGGACTCACTCAAGTAGTTTTGGCCAATAGCATTAAAGTTAGCATGCGCAACCACAAGGAGCCCCTCTTGTTCCAGGAATATGTAATCGTCTCTGACTGTGTGTTTTTCTTTTCTTCTACCGACAGTGAAGACGAGAATAAACTTCACCAATGCATGGAAGTTAGTGGATCTAAAGAGCAACAAGCTTGTTGTGTTTTTGTTTTTGACCACCTCCAGTTCAATGCACCACTACCAACGTTTCCATTACCAATGTATTTTCCGTTGTTCAGTTCTTGGTTCCAATGTGAACCAGGTGTCACTATGAGCGTCTCCCTCATGTAGAAACTGCCTGGCTGCCGGCGGCCGCTCGCTCCAGCGGTCAGTGATCAGTGGAAGAAGGAAGCGCAGAAACAGCAGCAGATGTTTCATGGCTGATGAGATCGCGGAGCCATCTGTCTTACAGCACATCATCAATGTGTCTTGTTAAATTACAATTGTGTGAATTTATTGAGGAAAATGGCGATGGAAGACAGAGGGGATAGATATATGTGACTTTGAATGAAGGTTCAAGTCTGAGTCCAACATCACACCAAGATTTTGGGCCTGGTCACTAGTTTCTAGCTTCAATAACTGAAGTTGTGTCCGTCTCTTTTGATCATTCCTGCTTTAGACCAAAGATAATAACTTCAGTTTTGTTTTCGTTCAGCTGGATAAAGTTATGGGAGTCGCTGGGTGACATTGTAAAGTCTGAGTAGTTATGGTGACTAATATTATTTCTTCTTATAACCTGAGCTAGTGGGAGGATATAGACATTAAATAAGAGAGGTCATAGGATTGAACCTTAGGGTACCACACATGTGACGATGAGAAATTACCTTTTGAAACAAAGAAGTCCCTGTTCTTTATATTCAAACCTGTTGAACACTGCACCGAAGAGTCCGATCCAGAATTATGGTATTGTCAGTGTCAAAAACGGCACTGAGGTCCAACAAAACCAGCAATGTGGTTCTTTCACAGTCTGTTTTTATGTGGACTTTAATGAATATTTTGACTTATAACTTTCCAACAGGAGCAGAGAAAGGTTACCTCACCAAGTTTCAAACACATGTCCTTCTACTCTCTGTTCAAGAATCCAAAGCCATTTCTGGTTTTCTTCCCTCCTCACCGGCAGTTAGAGGACAGCAGGAGCGGGAGAGGAGAAGAACATCTGGAGAGACAGATGCTTCCACCTTTATGTGGCAGGGGAACAAGCAGCTTTCTGGAGTGAGCGCACAGGCACTCATTCATGTCTGGAAAACAGATGGAAGATGATTCCCTGAAGCTGCGTTCACACCTTCAGATCCACCAGGGCCTGAACAGAACCTCATTTTCACATCAGCCGCGGTCTTAGTTCACATCAATAAACGCAGAACGAAATGGAGCGAAACCACACAACGAACAGCCTGCAGGACAGCATGAGCTCATGAGCTCAGCTAACGGGACCAATGAAGCTCACGGTTTGTTCGCTGAGCTTCGTGTTTTAGGACATTGACGCATGTTGCCTCAAACCTCCGGTGGATTCGAAGCAGACAAACAATGAAGTCAAAGTAAAATTAGTTTAAAACCAGCCAACTTTTCACGGACGATCCCATGCTTTGTGCTCTTTTGAAGGAAATTGAAAACTGTGGAAATTGAAAACTGTGGCATCAAGAGGTCTAATCATGCCAGTCATTTCCTGACCTTCCTGTTGTCCTTCATCCTCAGTCTGATCCTTCATTTCGCCTCCTGTGTTTGATTCATCGTCTCGTTTGTAGATTTGCTTTCCAATTAATGTGAGAGGCTGTCAAGCGCCAGTGACATGTCTTTGTGCTTCTTGGTGCTGAGGCTGTAATGGAATGACTCAGATGACCAGAGTGTGGCCCTGTGGACGGTTTTATCGGGCCCTTCTGTCCATGAATCTGCGATTAATTTGAGATTCAGAAAGTCTTCATAAACATTTAGTCAGATGCAAGACAGAGCGTTTTTCTTTTATTAACAATGTTTGTTTTTATTGATGACACATTGACAAAACTGGCAACCGCTGAGGCCAATTGTAAAAGAAAGATGGCAAAAAGAAAAACTGAGGACAATTAAAAACCCTAAAAACATTTTTAAAAACTAGTTAGTATAGCAACTGTGAAAGACTGTGTGTGTACTTTACCTCAACAATAATTTATGTTACTTTTCTAGACAATGTAGACTATTTTGCTTCATTAACATATCTGTCTGATATATTATGTCTTACAAAACAAATCTTTTCACTTTTAATTCTCTTCCGGTTTTAATTGCAAAACGTTTGAACACCTCTCATGGAGATCAAAGCAAATTCAAGTGGTGGTTTGAAAAACATCAATTAAATTCAATTAGTTAAAATGTTAAATAGCTGAACATTTAAGAACTGCTTAAAAAAACCTTCATTAATCCATAAATGGGGAATATATACAACCCTTAATGCTGAACAGCTGGAGTAGCTAATTTATGTTCATGGCAAAGATTCCATATTGTGTGCTGAAATTCCAGTTTTTACAAATTGTAATAAAATATCATGAAGGCTTGATGAGTTCAAACAGAAATATTTTAATGTCTCTTCGTCAATCAGCCAAAGACCAGAAGAAATAAAGATTTCTGAACGGTTCTATATGGTCAGCTGCATTTTGAGCTACTTATAAATAATGCTGGGCTGATTAATGTAGACCATCATAAAGAAAAGAATTACAACAGTCAATGTGAGAAATAATAAAATAACAAGTGCCATAAAAAGAGAGATAAGGCTTAGCTTTAGCGAAGGGTCAAAGTTAAAAAAAGATGAAGGCAAAGGCATCATTATCTTGAGAATCGTGGTTCATATTTTTTGCATTGACAATGCAGAGTTATAAAAATACCCAAGATTTTATTCAGGGTTTTAATGAGCTGGACTAAAATGTCTGACCAGCTCATCAAACCTGCGCTTGATCAAATCGATTCCACAAGATCATCTTGAAATTTTGTGAGTTTTGTCACAAGGCACGGGGAATCTAAAGTTATCAGTGTTTCTCATCTCCTGACTTTTTTTAAATTTATTTATAAATGTTGAAGCAGTGGGGTCAGAATTAAAAATTCAAAATGAATAAATTATTTTGAATGTACCCAACTAGGTTTGGTATGATATTCTTTTATTCGATCAATAAATCGGTGCAAATTTATCGATCAGTTTACAGACAAACGCTTCTCGAGAAACAAAAGAAACATGATTTGAAACAAAAAAACAACATAAAGTCCATGTGACGGAGTTGACGCAGGTCTGAAGGTGGCGAGAAACCAGTGAGTACAAAGAAATACTTTATACATGTGAAGTAATGCCGTTTATGCAAACTACATTAAAACAAATTAACAGCACACTGAAATGAGATTTGTAAACACTATCACAGAAAGAGACACTTAGTTTCAAACTATGACGGAGTTAATGAAATGTAAAACTACCTTAATTTATATAAGACGTTATTCTGAAGGCGGCCATATTGCAGCTCATCAGGTCCATCAAGTCTTTACAGTACATTAAAATTAAGCATTTATTTCACACAGTTTCACCAAAGTTTCATAAACTGTTTTTATGTCTGAGTTTTTGTGTTGACAAAAACACGGGACAAATTTCACTTGAGCTGGAAAGTATATAAAAATGATTTTTAATTCAATTTATTGAGAATTTTATAATTATTTACTTGGATACTTATACTTAATTGTCATAATGTATTATCTCAATGTTCCTTTATTTGTTTTAAACTACTATTATGGATTGAGTTTTGCTCCAGGACAAGGGATTTTAAAGACATCATCCACCTACTACAAAGTTTAAAATAAAAAATGTAAAGCAAACAAGGGAAACACACATTGTTGTGCCAACATGGCCCGGGTTAGTTAAGTCAGATATTTGAAAAAAGATTATTTTGTGTATATTTTATTTAAATTTTATTTTTTATCTATTTTGTCCCTCTTCTCAAGAGTCACTGATTTGATAAATTAGATGTGAAACACATTATATAGATTAATTACTCAGACTGATGATGTTTTTGCTTCTGATTTAGTTTTCTCCATCTTATTTTTCTATTTTTTGCAAACCTTGTTTACTCTGTTCATTTTGTTTTTTTTGATTTAAAAATTGAACAACTTGATCCGCTGCCTTGTCATTTTGTGAGCAGGTTAGTAATCCTGGCACAGTTTCATGAAACAGAACATGAACATCCAACTCAATTTTGTTCTTTGTTTGAGACCAATTTGTCCCAGCAGTTGAGTAGTCAGGATCTCGGGTGTGGTGCATCAAAACCAGGATGATGCGTTTCGCATCTGTTGAAACAAAACCATTTTCAATGCAGAGTTATGAAAATACCCAAGATTTTATTCAGGGCTTTAATGATCTGGACTAAAATGTCTGACCAGCTCATCAAACCTGCGCTTGATCAAACCGATTCCACAAGATCATCTTGAAATTTGGTGAGTTTCTTACAAGGCACAGGGAATCTAAAGTTATCAATGTTTCTCATCTCCTGACTTTTTCTTTATTTTTTATAAATGTTGAAGCAGTGGGGCCAGAATTAAAAATTCAAAATGAATAAATTATTTTGAATGTTCTCCCTGTTCTCCCTGTGCATGGTGGATTGAACCCTTGAACCCAACAAGGTTTGGTATGATATTCTTTTATTCGATCAATAAATCGGTGCAGATTTATCGATCTGAATCCATCCTCCTCCAGATTTTCAGTCAAAGATTTGGTGGCTGTGGCCTAATTTATCCACTAGACATATTAAAAGAAATAACGCTGACGAATACTAAGACCTAGGGTTATGAAATTTAGTACAAATATGCAGCATCTCAAGACCTACAGAAAAGTATCTTTGAGCCCCAGAAAGAAAAACTTAATATAGATCTATAACAACAAAGTTTGGTAAGAAATTCTTGATTATTTTTTACAACGTAAAAATTAAATACATACCTTTCACTTGGTCCAAAGCTGCTTCCACATCTGAGCCAACACGGGACGTGATGGGACAATAAACAATGTGGCCTTTATATTTCTTGCTGATATGATTCTTGAGCTTCTTCTTCACTAGTTTCTTGAAAGCTTCATCTGCCCCAAAGGTTTCACCTGTTCGGACATACTAAATACACAGTTAAACAACAAAGGGACAATTACCATATGAAATAATGCCAACAATTGTTTCTTAAGTAAGATGTGATTGGAGGAAAAAGAACAATGTCGTGTCTCTGCTTGTTTACATCTGTTACCTCAGGTTACTATTTATTATATTTCATTGGCGTTTCATCATGCAGGTGCATTTTGTTGCTCTTACCTTCGCTTTTTCTGAAAAATACAACAGCATGAAAATGAATAATTATATGGAATTATTCAGTGTCAGTTCTGTATTAATATGAGTTGAGATCCTCACTCACTGTTCATCGTTTTCCCCGTCTTGTGGTTTCCTAGCACATATAAATAAATATTAACATTAATAGTTCCATCCATTTTTTCATTTCAGTGTTTTTAGAAGTACAGTGTCTGGCAAAAATATTCCTTGAACTTTTCTACGTTTTGATATATTACAACTACAAACATAAATAGTCATAAATATATAATTGAACTTTAATGTGGAAGACAAAGTGGTGTACAATTGTACAGTAGAAAATAATTATACATGATACAAAACATTTTTTTTTTTTTACAAATAACTGAAAAGTGCAGTGTGCAAGAGTTTGTGAACAGCAGTTTTCACATCTCGATTGTGCTTAGGTCTGGACTTTGACTGGGCCATTCTAACACATGAATATGTTTAGTTTAAAAACCATTTCATTGTATCCCTGGCTTTATGCTTAGGGTGGTGGTCCTGCTGGAAGGTGAACCTCCACCTCCACCCAGTCTCAAGTCACTGCCATGTGTTTGGCTCCATCGATCTTCCTGTCAACTCTGAGCATCTTCCCTGTCCTTGCTGAAGAGAAGCACCCCACAGTATGATGCTGCCACCACCAAATTTGGCAGCATGGCAGAGTGTGCTTTTTTTGTTTTTTTTTAGACTTCTTTAGACTTCATGCTATTTGCTCCCTGATATTCTCTGAGCCTCTGGGGCGTCACAGAGCAGCTGGATTTGTTCTGACATCAGGTCACATATAGGTGGACTTTATTTAGTCATTAGCAGTCAACAGGCAACTTCTGAAGGAGAGTGCTCACACTCAGAAGAAAGGAGGCTGAATACTTTTTCACACTACACTTCTCAGTTTTGTAAAAAAATATTTTCAAACATAACACCCCTAATGGGGACAGACAGGACAAACAACCACACACACATCTAGGGAGAACTTTTAGAGACCAATTAACATGACAGTCATGGATCTGGACTGTGGGAGGAAGCCGGAGAACCCAGAGAGAATCCACCATGCACAGGGAGAACATGCAAACTCCATGCAGAAAGACCCTGCGCTGGGTTCTGTCTGTCTGTCAGTCTGAAAAAGCTGTCTGTGCTGAATTATAGTGATGTCAGCTGCTTAACTTCATACTGTTTCAGAATGAAGCAGTGTAAACCACAAAATCTAAATATTACTTTAATGAAACTAATATTATAAATATTCATTTATTAGTTAAATGCTTATCAAGTTTTAAAATTTCCACATGTGTAAATATACATTTTGATTTCTTGGATTGTGGCACGTTTGGCTTTCCATACATGCCAGCGGTCCAAATTGTTGGTATAATATCAGAGGCGACTTATTGTGTGACATTTTTAGATGTGGCCTCTAAATGTCATGTGCTGAACCTTTCTTAGCTTTTCTTAGTTACAGCAGTAACTTCATTCTGTTCACCTCCAGCCCAGATGCTGTGAGCCGCCGATAGAAATGGCAGGTGGAGCGACGCAACTATTACATGACGCAGAGGTAACGACACCACAGAGGAAAGGGTTTGACCGTAGAGAGAGCGAGTTACAGTCATAAATGCAAGTGAATGTCTAAGTTTTAAGACGAAATCAAAGCTTCCTTGATCAGCTACATTTCTCACATAAATTTATTTCCTCTTTAATAACAAGAAAATAAACACAGCCCAGAATGATAGTGAAAAATCGTGTCTCCTACCTTTTGGTGCTGTTGGTGCTGCAGCAGCTGAAAATGAGAGTGAAAGCTTTCACTTTCACTTCAGGTCAAACCACGTGATTTACAGCAAGCTTATCAGACATGAAGGGATTCCTTCTCCATGGCAACACGCTGTTTACAGTCCACGTTTTGAGGAACAAGTTTACTAATAATAATTTATAATGATAATAATAATAATAAAAATACTAACACGTTTTACTGTCAATTACAAAAATAATGAAAGTGTCAAAAAGTCGACTCTACATTACATGTTACAATGAAAAACAAACAAAAATGAAACAAACAATAAAACCCTATTTGACACCATTTGGTGTCGCAACTCTCCACAACCAGAGGCTCCATAAAAGAGGAGCTATAATCCCTATATGCTTTAATATTTATTATTAGAAATATTATAATAAATATAATATTTATATTAAAAAATATTCACACCCTTGGATGTTTGACCTTTTTACTGTTTTTACAAATCCATAATGAGCAACAAAATATGTCTTATTAAAAACAAAGCATTTACAAAAAAAAACCTTTGTTAAAGAGAAAATTAATTTTAATAAAAAAATGACAAATAAAAACAGTGAATATAAAATAAATATCTATAAATATTAATCCAACACAGAAAACGTACTCAGTTGAGTTACTGGGTATTGGTTAATAAATTCTACATGTTATGTTTCTCAGCTTCATATTAAGATAAATTATATTATGTTGCAACCTCCTGAGTAATCTGTGGGTAAATAGTAAGGTGTTTATGAGGTTTTACATCGTAATTTATTGTACTTTTCTGCATAAACAAGCATTGATCAATGAGTAATGCTCCAAAATTTACTGAATACTTATTCCCACGGAAAATGAAACAGCTACCAAAATCTTAAAATGGAAAAATGGTCCTTACACTAAATAAAAAAATAAAAAGAACCACATTGTGGACAGAAACAAGTTCCCAAAAGGATATAAAAAAAACTGGTGTTCACACACACACACGCATGCACACACACACACACACACACACACACACACACACACACACACACACACACACACACACACACACGCACGCACACACACACACACACACACAGAGTTATTGTGCTTGTTATTTACTGAGACTGAGAGCACCTAAAACACCAGTCTGCTGTTTTAGGCAATACATGTAAAGGGTCAGTAACTGCACAGACTCCACCAAAGTTAATAAATGAAGACAGGCATATCATCTTGTTTCATTATTTTTTACAGAATCATAATATTTTATGACTGCTATACAATAAATTATAACTCAAACATCATTTAGTGAGAAAATAAACACATCTTTTGCAAGTTAGATTGGAGCCACATCCCCACACAGAGAGGATACCATCAACAACATAAAATCCGAGACAGTAAACATTAAACTCAAGGCGCTTAAGATTTATATCATTTGTTATGTTCTGGTTATTTTGCGTTTTCTAAACATTTTAAATTTGATTTCAAAAAATAATAATTGGGTTTAATTTTTTAAATATTGGTCTTGTTTTCTTACAATGACACACATGTTGTTCAAATGAGCTTTTTTCCCAAAAACACATCAAAATTAATCACTGAGTAACTGTTTATTGGTGCTGCTGATGAATCCATTATATTTTAGGCAGTCAGCAGCCACACCGACAGAATCTCTTAATACGCTTCAGAGTTGACTTTGTTCTGTATTGTTTCAGAAAAGTTTGTATTTGATCCACTGCCTCCATGTTCTTGGGACAGTTGTGCAAACCCAGCACACTTTCATGGAAGAGGACATGAACATCCAAGTCAACGTTTGGATGCATGTCTGACCATGAGATCCCAGCAGTCGAGTAGTCAACATCTCGGGTGTGATGCATCAAAATTAGGATGATCCTTTTATTTACTGTGGGGAGAAGGAAGAGGTATGAGATTAAGCTTTATTTTTTAAAGTTCTCTTTCAGTTTTTTTTAAAAAGACAATTTTTTTCTTGATTCTAGAGCTGAACACTTTCCCTGATATTCTTTCACAATATGGCAAGGCAGATTATCAAATTTGCAAAGTGAAATCCGTAATCAGTTAACAGTTTTGTTATCTGAACTTTGACACTGTATTTTTATCAGTCAATGGTAAAACGTAAGTGGAAACAGAGCAAATATTTTCTCACAAATAATACCCCTTGTGTATTGCTTTATCTTTTCTTATTTTGCCACAATTAAATGTCAAAAATCAAAAAATATTTTATACGAAACAAAAAGGCATTAGAAAATAATGAAACCTTTTTTTAAATAATAAATTCCCCAAAGCGAAAGGGCAGGATTTATTTTCCAGCCACAAGGTGCCATTTTGTAGCAACTATGTTACCTTCAGTTATTCTGAAAATGCTGTGTATATCAAATTTTACTCCCGGTGTTCTGTTTGTCTGTGCTGTCTGAAAATCTGTCCTACCTTGTGATAATGCGCATGCGCACATCGATGCTGTTTACTCAACAGATTTCTTATAAATATGCTCTACCTGTGGACATATTTATAAGAGGAAGATTTGTTCCATGTGTTTTATTTCATCAAAGATTATGGTAAGTTTTATTTAATTTATTTAAGTTTATTTTAAACCTGGCTTTCATTAAGCTGCTGTACTACTTTACATGACACACAGCTTATGAATGGCTTTAGTTTGCTGCCTGCAAAGTCGTTACTACTCTAACTACTGTCATTGTTTTACTGTTAATCAGGACAAAATACGTTGTTTTTTGGACTATTTTGTCCCTATATTTTAAATTATTTTAGTTTAATTACACTTTTTTTATTATTAAACTTTGTTAAATAGATTTTAGTGATACTATGTGAGATTGAAGCTGTGTTATATTACTGTGTGTTAATCATTTTGTATCATTTTAGGAACACAATGACCTGCGCAGTTCGGTGAACACATTGTGGCTGCGCTGCATTTGATAAAGTTTGTCATGCAACTTATTAAAGACTTACGTTGATCTGTATTTGTCTGTGTTTAATTTAATTCCAATATAAATGTTTTTATTGGAATTAAATAAAAACGGTATCTACCTAAACTAGATACTCCTATTCAGGTTTAGTAGATAAGTATAAGTAAGGAGGGCTGCTCTGTGAGCTCTGTGAGCTCAGAAGCTTGGAAACAGCAGCTCACAGGGGAGCTGTGAATCGAAGGTGGATGTTTTTCTAGATGGTTTTCCCGATTGAATGGTTGCCATGGATATTAAAGTATTTCTCAAACATGCATAAAAAAGAAAAAAAAAAACCTCCAGATATGGTGTAATGAGAGAATAACATTATCTAACATGCTATGTCTGGAAAAAAAAACGGTTGCAAGATGAGTGTGTGTGTGTGTTATAGTCTCCCTACCTGTCTTTTACCAAACAAGAGAAAACAGAGCCTCACATTGACATTAAAAGTGATGCCTAACGTCTTACTCGGCACGCTTCCTAGAGCCGCGTCCACATCTGATCCAACACGAGAGCTGATTGGACAGAAGACGATGGTAAACTGCCCGTCTTCAGTTCTGCCTTCCAGTCTTATCTTGTTCTGCACCTGTTTCATCAGAGCTTCATCAGCACCAAAGGTTTGCCCACTGACAACCGTCTCCACACTGATTGAGTCTGTTGTCAAAATGCAAAACAGAAAAAACATAAGAACCAAATGCAAGTATGGGAAGTTACATAATGAAATGAGCCATGGTGGTCACTCACATGAGCAACCCATCTTGGTTTTCTGCACAGAGAAACAAAAATGACGTGAACAGAATCCATCTGTCCAAGTCGTACTTACGCTAGATTATGTTCAAATGATTCCAAAATAAGTTAATATGTAAAAGAAAAAAATCAAGAGCAAATAACTGACAGAAGTTCTTTTAATGATACTTTAAAATGATATTGAATAGAAAATACTGAATATGAATGTATTCAAAAGAAAAAGTACATTTATGACACAGTCATTCCTTATTTTTAACTGTAACAGTTCAAACATATGCCAAATCATTTGCATATACAGATTAATAACTCTTTAATTTGTTTTGAAATAAATCAGTTTTTAAATGAATCCATATAAATTATTATTCATCAACAACAATAAAATAGTTAAAAAGCTTTATTCTTACGTCTGCTGTGTTACTGCTGCTACTGCTGAGACCGACAGGTTGTTTGTAAAGAAAGTTTTCACTTTCACTTATGGATTCACGTCAGCCACATGGTTTACAGGAAACCCAATTATTATCAGAGCATTGACTGCATGACGGGTTACTTTGCAGAGCCACATAACTCAGCAACTCAGCAACAAGATGGTGAAATTGAACCTATAGTTTAATGTTTATTCATTTGACCCTTTAAATGGCTCAGAAGATAGAAAATAACATTAGAACTTGTGTACAAACAGGAAAACTGACATGAACATAAACTCTGGGTTTGTGTCTCATGCACTTTTATTTAATAGTATTTTAAACAAATACTTCTTCATTTTGAGAATTTACTCAGTGCGTAGAGTATCCTGAGAGTTTCCTGAAGTAAGAGTAGTGATACTTCATAATAATATTACTCAAGTGAAAATAAAAAGTATAGTGTCGTAAAAGTACTCCTAAAAGTATTTCCCCCAAGAAAGTTACTCAAGCAAATGTAACTAAGTAGATGTAATTACTTGCTTCCCATCTTCATATAAAGTAATCAGTTTGATTTTAAAAGTTGGAAATAAGCAAATTTATAAAAGATTTTTTTATTTCCATGACAATATACTGAGGTAATGGAGAAACACAGCAGAAGACAATGCTTAAAGATAACTTCTCAAATATGTAACATTTTATAAAAAACTAAATTTACAATCCAATCTGCAGCTGAAAATAAATATTTTTCTTTCAGTGTATCAGTGTGTGTAATAGACTAATGGATCATTTTTTCTCAAAGTCAATTTGACATATTTCAAATGTGACATTTTTTCTCATCACATACATTACAGTTCAAAAGTTCATGCCCACTTAGCTTACTAAATCTTTAAACTATGATGAAGATATCATGGTTTTGTAAGCTTTGTAATTCTCAATATGTGAGTTAATTGGAGTCAGACCTCTGAATTATGAATTCTTATCTCTAACAAAACACTTGTGTGACACCAAAGGATTCCAGAAATCTTGTGAAAACACAGCACAGTAGAGGCAATCTGACCAAAAGTTCAACTGCTTCTATGTTGGTTATCTTTTAAAATGATATAAAATACAAAATAACATATTATCAAAAAAACACAGTACTAATTAAAAGTGAACAAAACAAAAATGGTTTTAATGTCAGTCCTAGATTATTGTGCTTCTACTTCTTTGTCTTCAGCCAAATCAGGACCAGCCTGATTTAACTATCAGCAAGAAGGCAGTTCAAAGTGCTTAACATCATAAAAACATCATAAAAATGTACAGTGACAATGATTAATTTTGAAGCCAGGTGTTTACAGCATAACAACTGCAGTATATACAGTTTCTAAATCACTAATCACTGAGCTTTTCAGTAGTTTATGAACTAACAGAAGATTTTATGGTCTATTGTCTGAAACAGCCATTAAAAGGACTTTAGATCTGGAGTGATTTGCTCTAACTTCCTAGTTCTAGTGAGAACATGAGCAGCAGCGTTCTGGATCAGCTGCAGCTGGAGGATTCTTTAGTTGGACTTGTGAAGACACTGCTGCACTAATCAATGCGAATAAATAGAAATGCATGGATGAGTTTCTGTAGATCTTGCTTGTTCAGGTCAGTCCCTCACCACTCCCAGGTTTCAGGCCTGATCTCTGGTTTCCAGCTGTAATAACTGAAGCTTCGTCTCAAAGATGGAGCTGGCGTCTTTGAGACAGAAGTTTTGCACAGCTGAATGGTTGCCATGGAGATGAAAGGATTTCACAAACATGCCTGGAAGAATCAAGGCAGGCTTTTGATGAGGGAAAAACTTTATAAAAGAGTTGATTTTACATAACACTGCCCCTTTAAATAAAAATGTACATTTTTCAAGACTATGACTGCGAGATATTATAATTTTATGTGCATTCTGTGTCCAATCAACCTGTTTTATGGTATAACATGGTAGATAAGATGTTGCTGTGCAGAAAGAAAGACGTGAACTGGAGCAAAGTACCAAAACCATTAATTGTTAACCATTAATTGTATCTTCTTATCAATCAGATCAGTTACTCAAAATAAAAGTGAAACCAAAATAATCCTACAAATAGGTTCAAACTCTTACTTTTATTCCACTTCCACAGCCGTCCTGCCCTGCAGCACTTCACCTGTCCAGGTAGGTTCAACAGGAAAAATCACTGCAGTTCAGCTGCACTGACTGATGAATTTATGTGTTTGGGAACTTTTAGACAATATAGTTCATTTATTTTCTATTTTAATTCTTTGAACTGGTCAGTGTTTCTGATAATGTGTTTCTCTAAGGAAATGCTATGAATAAACTATTTTATATTCTTATGGGTAAAAATAAATTAGCAAACAAAAATATATTAAACAAAAAGATAAAACAGAAGATGGAGTGAATAAACCTAAGTCTTCATTCTCTCTCTGTCTCGTAGCTCATTGTTCGCAGTCATGGGGAATCGGCCTCCAGCACCTCGTAAGTATTACAGGATTGTTTGATAGAGGCACATATAATAAATATTTAAACTATCAGTTTTAAATCACTCCAGGGAAATTAAGTCCCAATTAAACCACAAGTGAACAACTCTGTAGGATCTAACTGTATATATTAGATTTTATTTTATTTCCACTTTATTTAGAGGCCTTTTCAGCCATTTACAAGAAAATACATGTTGCACCCCTCACATTATAGATTTCTCTGACACAAGGTAAATATAGAAAACAACACAGTAAATGCAGTGCATTGTATTCTAGAAAAGATTTTATCTATACAAGCATTCTTGTAATAGTGGTGCTATTACTTGCTACATGGTTTGGCAAGTAATAAAACAAAGCCTAAAGCCTGCAGTCCAAGCATGATTTGAATTGGAACTGCAAAATTACCTTTTAAACCAAGTTTTTTTTTTTAAAAAAAAAAAACATAATTTATTATGACTGTTTTATTATTTAGGACCTCAGCCTCCTCCTCAGCCTCGCCCTCAGCCTGCTCCTCGTAAGTACTTTTGCTTTTCACTCTCATACAAAAATGCACTGATTTTCTCACTGAAGGTTCAGTCTGTTTTATATAATACCAACTATTCTATAAACTAAATAATACCTTTAACTAAAGGTAAAAATCTATCACTTTTTTTTTACTAAAATTCTTGGGCTAATTAAAGTTAATCTATTTTGCTGTATTTAGCTCCTCCACCATCTCCACGTAAGTCAAACTTATTTATTAAGGCTTTTGCAGAGACAAGAAAATGTGCTGTGGTTCTATTATTATTATTATTTATTATTATTATTATTATTATTATTATTATTATTATTATAACAATACTAATAATAATAATAATAATTATTATTATTATTGTTATAATAATAATAATAATAATAATAATATAATAATGATGATTATTATTATTATTACTATTATTATAACAATAATAATAATAATAATATTATTATTATTATTGTATAATAATAATAATAATAATAATCATCATTTTATTATTATATTATTATTATTATTATTATTATTATTATTATTATTTATTATTATTATTATTATTATTATTATTATTATTATTATGTCATTGTCAATTTATAAATAATAATGGTTATTATTATAATTATTATAACTGCTTAATGTAGCTTCTACGCTATCTATGTATTTAGTCAAATGCGATATCAGTACCAAATTTTTCTCACTCTTGCAAGATGTTTTTTTAAACATTGATCTTATTTCTCCATCACAGTTGTAAAAACTCCATGGAGAGAAACAACATGGGGGTGAGTACATTGGTTTCTATCCATCTGCATGTTGCCACTGTGTTTGTTGCTCTTTCACAGTTTCTCCTTTCACATCTTAACAGTGGAGCAATTTATCAAACACAGCACAGGTGACTTTACTTTACGCTGACAACTACATTCCCCTCATCAGTGTCTAAGACAGACTGAACTTTATCCAAAACCATAACAGCCCAGACATTAAAACACCACATCGTCCCAAAGTTTGAGAACCAGCATTGAAAACAGCAGTGTTCCTTTAAATAAAGAACATATTTAACTTTAATAAAACATAATCTAATTTCCTAATGCCTTCAGTGCAAAAAGCCAAAAATGATTTGTTTACAGTTATGAAACAGAAAAAGCAACATTCGCACCAGGCTCCAATTGAACTGAAATATTGTGCTGACTGACAGTTTTAATCTGTATTTTCAGTTTTTGTTCATATTATATACATTTTAAAATACAATGTAAATATTTTTTTTAGTATTACATTATTTTTCTTATTAACTTGCGATTTCAGGGGTTTTGGTTTATCATAACATCACTTGATAGTTCATTTCCTGTCTTCCTATTGTGAGCTCATCATCAACAGGTATAATGATTCCAGCGATTAATCTTAAAACCTTAAAACCACTTTCAATTCAATTCAAAAAGACTTTATTTATCCCATAGGGAAATTAAAAGATGAAAATATAGATAAATCAATGTACATGTAGTTTTGTTAAATGTGATTAAATACAAAGTTCTTACCGCTTCGATTTGTAAATGGAAGTCTAAAACTTGCATTTACAAAATAATCCGAAAATGGTAAATTATGCCACAAAACTGAGGAGGAGCCAGAAGTTTATTCTGGCAGATATGATTTAAATTATAACCTTTATTTCTGTTCAGATGTGAAAATAACCAGGAACTTCTGGAGTATGTGAAGAACTTTCAACCTCAAAATGAAGAAGTCGGAGCCATCAGAGTTTTGCTCCATGGTCCAGTCGGTGCAGGAAAGTCCAGCTTCATCAACTCTGTCAACAACGTCCTACAAAACAGAATGACCAATGAGGCTCTGGCCAGTTCCACAACCTCTGACCAAAGTTTTACAACAAAAGTCAGTATAACTTCTTGTTTGGTGTTAAAGGCTTATTCTTACTTTTGGGATTTATGACTTATACATCTCTGCTTGGGGAATCAATTAATCTCCACATGTTTGTGTGGAATATCAAGTCATACTTAAAAAAACATGTAGAACTCCCTGTCGTTCCTTGTTCACCTTCTCTCCACAGCTAACATGATTCTTTCATTGGTTAAAGCTTACGATTATTGGCCAAATGTTATAAATTATCTCACCTAGACTTATGCAGCAACATGTTCAGAATTTTATTTCTCAAAACAAATTTAAGATTAGAATTAAACTAACATCTGTATTTTGAAGCACATTTACTGTTGTTCTCATAGTTTTAAACATATTTGTAACATCTATCAGCTGTTAACATAAAAACAACTTTAATTTTTCTTTTTCTTTCAGTATCAAACTCATAAAATCAAGAAAGAAGGCAGGGGAAACTTTTATCCCTTTGTGTTCAATGATATCATGGGTCTGGAGGAAAGAACTGGAGTCAGAACAGACGACATCAAACTGGCCTTGAAGGGACATGTGAAGGATGGATATAAGGTTTAAATATATACTTTTTTTTTAAAAAAAATTCATCCTTCTGAAGCTATTATACTTATCTTGCTTGATATGTAAAATAAATGTAAATTAAATAGCAATTGTCTTGGATATACATCTTATTTTTCCCCACAGTTCAATCCTGTATCTTCCCTGTCTGATGATGATCCTGGCTACAACTCTTCCCCGTCCATCAGTGACAGAGTTCATGTTCTGGTCTGCATTTATGATGCTAATGCTCCACAAATGAAACCGTCTGTTTTACAAAAAATGAAGGAAATCAGAGAAGCAGCCAGTGAGCTGGGTAAGAAACAACACTATGCCATAACCTTGTGTTCAGTAAAGTATTGTCACTGTAAATGCAAGTAAGAAAAATACTCAAATTTTACTTCAACAGTCATAGAGGTTACATAATAACCCCTATTATTATGTTTATTATAATAGGGGTTTAAATGATTTCAAAAAAGTAGAAATCATGAAAAAGTTGATTTAAATCAGTAATTTCATTCAAAAGGAAAAACTTGTATATTATATTCATTCGTTACACACAGACTTATATATTTCAAATGTTTATTTCTTTAAGTGTTGATAATAACTAATAAAAACTCCAAATTCAGTATCTTAGAAATTATGAAAATGTTCAATGTTGAACATCCCTGATCAGTTAATTAACTCAAAACACCTGAAAATGCTTTTACATTGTCTCTAAGTCCAGTCACACAATCAAGGGAGACTGCTGACCTGACAATTGTCCAAAAGATGACCTTTGACACCTTGCACAAGAGGATGATACACAAAAGGTCATTGCTAAAGAAGCTGGCTGTGCACAGAGCTCTGTGTTCAAGCAGATTCATAGAGGTGAAAGGAAGGAAAATATGTGGAGAGGATGGTGAAGAAAACCCATTTAGAGAGTCACAACGAGTGGACTGCAGCTGGAATCAGTTCTTTAAAAACTTCTGCGATGGACTGGCGGCATGTCCAAGATGTCCTCCGCCTCTCACCTCTTGGTAACTGCAGATAGTCACGCGACCCCAAAGGCATGAGGATGTAAGAAAATGGATGGATGGACTTGGCACCTGCAGACATTGCAAAACTACCAACACCTGGTTTGAGGACCATGTTCTTAATTGGCCAGCAAACCCACCTGACCTTAACTACATAGAAAATCTCTGGCGTATTGTGAAGAGGAAGATGTGACACACCAGACCCAACAATTCAGAAGAGATGGTCACTATTAGAGCAACCTGGACCCTCATAACACCTGAACAGTCATGGAGTCACACTGCATTGCTGCAGTAATCTTAGCAAAACGAGCCCCAACCTCAACTCTGTGCTGCACATGCTCATACTTTTGATATTCATATATTTCAGTGGGCTAACATTTCTAAAAATCCTTTTATTGTATTGGTCTCAAATAATATTCACATTTTCTGAGATACTGAATTTGGGGTTTTCATAAGTTTTGAGTTATAATAATCAACATTAAAAGAATGTTGATGAATATACATCTGGAAAGTCTGTGTGTTATGAATGGACATAGTATAATTTTTTTATGGAATTAAGTCAACTTTTTTATAATATTCACATTTTTTGACTAGAACCTGTATGTATAAAAATATGAAAAAAGAAATTAGGAAATGCTGAAAATGTCATTCTCAAGCAGTTCATGGTGTTTAGAAAACGATCCGTCATAGCAAAGCACCAGGAGAACAAAGTTCGAGGCCTTCAACCCTAAAACATTAGTGACATTTTACAGTTTAGTCTTTTTTTACATTATGTTATAGTTTGAACTTCAACAATATGCTCCTACAGATCATCTGAGAAGAATTAATTTCATGTACTTGTTAAAGTATATTTACTGCTTATTCCATATCACGATACAAGAAAAGAAAACTCTCTGTTTCCACAGGAATCCCTCAGCTGGCGATTCTCACCCACATTGACTCAGCCTGTGGAGAAACACAGAAAAATCTGACAAACGTCTACAAGAGCAAACATTTAAAGAAAAAGGTGAGCTCTAGTAAGATTTATTTAAATCTTACTAGGAAAACAAAAACTGCCTCAATATATATATATATATATATATATATATATATATTTTTTTTTAATATAGATGGGTGACTTCAGCGCCGGCCTGGGGATCCCAATGAACTGCATCCTCCTAATGAAGAACTACAGCAGTGAAACTCAGCTGAATGCAGACGTCAGTACTCTGATCCTGAATGCTCTGAAACTGATGATTGACTTCGGAGACGACTACGCCGACAAACTGTGAAGCCGCAGAACAGTTTGTGGGGATATGCATGAAAATCACAGCAGTAATGTAGTTCATATAAGTGAAACATCATGAGGTGAAATAGTAGAGTTAATATTAAATAAAAGATAGTAGCGGCTCTGATTATACTAAGTTTGTTTTTTCTTTAAGTTGGTTTAATTTAACACACAATAAAGATGATGTGTTAGTTAACACAGGAGTAGAACAAAGAAGATCAGATAGAAGAGGACCAATTTCATCTAAATAAATGTGTTCCTCATGAACCGTGTAATAAACCATAAAGACAAGCTGAGGAAGGCTGGACTGACATTTTCCTACAACGTTCATCAAACTTTCCTGTTAGTTTGAAATTGCTAAAGACATTCATTACAAATGAAGAAACCTTAATGAAAGCTGTTTACTGTGATTCAGAGAGTGAAGCGTCTGTGGCCTGAATGAGTCGAGGTCTGTGTTGCACTATTATTATTGCTGTAAGCACTGCAATTATCATTGCAGGTATTATTCAGCAAAGATAATACCTGACCTGAAGATATTCTCTTCTGCTATTACTAGAAGTTCACTTAAAATAAACTTTATTTTTAGTATTCTAAATTTCAATTTTGTGTTTTTAGTAGCTGTAAGTGAAACAAAAATCATCATAAACAGAAATAAGACATTGAAAACAGAAATCTGTGTGATTATTGTTCCAAGTATTGTGTTCTAAGGGTTCTGACTGGTTCAGTAGAGCGGGTCCGCCAGGAGTCGGTCTGATTTCTGGTCTTTGTCCATTTTCTGCATGTCTTCTGCTTCTCTCTTCACCTTTTCTCCCTGTCAAGCTGCTGCACAATGAAGACTAGTACAAAAAAAGTCTTAAAAATAATTTGTTTCTCTAAAATAAATTATGATTTGTAATTTATTTAATTGATCTGCATGATTGAGATAAGAATGTGTGTTTGATAGATGAAGACATCAGATAGTGTTGTACCGTATGACAAAGTATGAAAACATTAGATATTTAATGAAAACTGAAAACTGTCATTATCGTACTGTGAAGAGATTTGTGGCTGATTCAGAACGGATGAGTTTGTACAGATAAAGGCAAAATGAGAAAGTTTTCTGATAGACAAAGTAATGGGATTAAGAGAGCAGTTGTTAAAATGCCCTTACAAAGCAGCAAACTGTAGGATCCTCCAGAGGCTTGTGGTGCATGAATCTATTATTGGGCCCCTTTTCTTATTACCTTCTTCAAGATTCAGAAGTTGATGCACATTTAGATCACTATATCTGCAAACATGTATGGAGGCAGATCTCTGAAGGCAGTTCAAAGTGCTTAACATCATAAAAACATCATAAAAATGTACAGTGACAATGACTAATTTTGAAGCCAGGTGTTTACAGCATAACAACTGCAGTATATACAGTTTCTAAATCACTAATCACTGAGCTTTTCAGTAGTTTATGAACTAACAGAAGTATTTTATGGTCTATTGTCTGAAACAGCCATTAAAAGGACTTTAGATCTGGAGTGATTTGCTCTAACTTCCTAGTTCTAGTGAGAACATGAGCAGCAGCGTTCTGGATCAGCTGCAGCTGGAGGATTCTTTAGTTGGACTTGTGAAGACACTGCTGCACTAATCAATGCGAATAAATAGAAATGCATGGATGAGTTTCTGTAGATCTTGCTTAGTTCAGGTCAGAGTCCCTCACCACTCCCAGGTTTCAGGCCTGATCTCTGGTTTCCAGCTGTAATAACTGAAGCTTCGTCTCAAAGATGGAGCTCTTTGAGACAGAAGTTTTGCACAGCTGAATGGTTGCCATGGAGATGAAAGGATTTCACAAACATGCCTGGAAGAATCAAGGCAGGCTTTTGATGAGGGAAAAACTTTATAAAAGAGTTGATTTTACATAACACTGCCCCTTTAAAGAAAAATGTACATTTTCAAGACTATGACTGCGAGATATTATAATTTTATGTGCATTCTGTGTCCAATCAACCTGTTTTATGGTATAACATGGTAGATAAGATGTTGCTGTGCAGAAAGAAAGACGTGAACTGGAGCAAAGTACCAAAATGTTTTCTGGTTAACCATTAATTGAATCTTCTTATCAATCAGATCAGTTACTCAAAATAAAAGTGAAACAAAAAAAATGTTCAAATAGGTTCAAACTCTTACTTTTATTCCATTTCCACAGTCGTCCTGCCCTGCAGCACTTCACCTGTCCAGGTAGGTTCAACAGAAAAAATCATTGCAGTTCAGCTGCACTGACTCATGAATTTATGTGTTTGGGAACTTTAGACAATATAGTTCATTTATTTTCTATTTTAATTGTTTGAACTGGTCAGTGTTTCTGATAATGTCTTGCGGTTTTGTCTTAGTAAATGCTTAAAATAAGCTCTTTAATATTTTTATGAGTAAAAATAAGTGATAACATTTATAAGATTCAAACAGAAAATATTCTCTAAAAAAGGAAAAATAATGATAATTTTAGAGTGAATAAACTCTTCATTTTCTCTCTCACAGCTCATTGTTCCCAGTCATGGGGAATCGGCCTCCAGCACCTCGTGAGTTTAGCATGACTGTTTCACTGAGACACGTGATGTATAATATACACTCTGACTTACTGTCAGTTTTAAATCATTCCACTGAAATGAAGTTACAATTAAACTTCGCATTATCTAACTGCAGATCATAGCTGGACTAAGATTTCAGGTCTTTTCTACTTTATTTCGATGTATTTTGAGCCGAATAAATAAAAGAAAATACATGTTTCACTCCTCACATTTTTAATAGTTGAGTTTGCAGAACCAAACAATTTGTGTGACGTTGTATCTGGAGTATAGATATGAGATTTAGATGTAGTTATTATCCCAGACTTCTATAAAAACAACAAAATATATGCAGGTCATTGTATTCTAGGAAATATTTGGTTCTATTAATAATTAAAACTCTTTTTGGTAACTTTGTTTGTATTGATATTGTTGATATCTCTCCACATTTTCAGATTATTTAGTTTATTATCTATGCCATGTATGGGATTACAATGTCATTAGAATAAAATATAATTGAGTCATCTGCAAACAAATCACTAAATTTAAATTTAAATGTAAATAATTTGGGGTCCAGTACAGACATGTTGATAAAAACTCACCCCTGAGAACATGACAGAGATTTTATTAAATGTCAGGTCTTGTAATGTTTATGCCTGCTAAAAGATCTTTCTGTAATTATTTTTGTGAAATCTGAATTAATAATTAAGGTCAATAGAATAATATTCACAGTTTCTTGCTGTTCTATGCCTGGGAAAATTGCTTTTCAGTGACATCACCATTTGATTTTGTTATTAATAAACATTTAACAATTTAGGAATTATCATGAAATATTCATGCTTTATGAGTTTCCTCAAGGAGTTATGTAATTGATCAGGTAGCAGGAGGGGGATTAAACGTCACTTTTGATTTCTGAAAAGAAATGTGCAAACAATGTACTGCAGCTGCATCATTTGAGTTGCATCGGTATCATTTCTGCGGCGGTTGTGCAGATATTCTATATAATACATGCCATGTGCAAGAAAATGATGGGGTTATTTTCTTATTACAAAACATCCACAAGCATTCTTATAATGTCAGGCTAAATGGTGCAGCAAGCAATTACATGAAACCCATAGTAATCGAAGCACGTTTTGAACTGGAACTGCTGAATATTTTAACATGATTTATTATGAGTGTTTTATCGTTCAGGTCCTCAGCCTCCCCCTCAGCCGGCTCCCCGTAAGTACTTTGTCTTTTCACTCTCATACAAAAATGACTCATCTTCTCACTGAAGTGTTCAATCTGTTTTATATTCTGCCTTAATGCACTGAAATTCACACATTTAACAACACCAACTATTCTATGAACTTAATGTAAAAAATCAAACATTTTTTTATTACAATTTTTGACCTAAGTAAACATTTTTTTTTTTTTTACTGTTTAGCACCTCCACCATGTCCACGTAAGTTCAGTTATTTATTCAGGTTATTACAAAGAATAAGTGTTTCTTGACCTATTATTATTATTATATTAACTATTTGATTGCTTAACTTGACTGCTCGTGCACTACCTGTGTATTTAATCGAAATGCAATATCAGTAACAAATGATTCTGATTGCCACACTGGTTTTTTAAGATATTGTTCTAAATTCTCCATCACAGTTTTATCAACTCCATGGAGAGAAATAAGATGGGGGTGAGTACATTTGTTTCTCTCCACCAACATGTTGCCAACATGTTTGTTGTTTTTTCAAAGTTTCTTCTTTCATGTCTTAACAGTGGAGGAGTTTATTAAACACAAACCATGTTACATTCCCTTATGCAGCATTGGAAACAGTGAACATGTGTTGTTATGTGATGATGGCATAAATGTTCAGTTCATTTGGATGCAGGTTTTAAAATGTATTTTTGTCCTTAGTTAATTTTTTAATATACATTTTAAAATTCATTGTGAATGCCTTCACTGTTTTGTTATTAATCTTTAACATAACATTTACATATCAATGTTCTTTTAATTTTCTAACTTGTAATCTTCCTGATTAGTTTATTATAACATGGCTTAATAGTTAATTTACTTTCGTCCCATGTGTGCTCATTTGCTCAGTTATGCATTCATTGCAATAATAATTTCAGCTATTAATACTTTAAATAAACACATTAAAAGACTTTATTTACCCTATAGGAAAATTAAATGCTGAAAATCTATACTAATCCATAGGGATGTGATTTACTTAGTTGTTGTAATGTTGTCCTAACGGTACTCTTCTAAAAATTTGATTCACAAAATGATAAAAAAAATAAATAAATAAAAAAAAAACATAAATTGTGCTCTTGAGGAGCCAGGAGTTTATTCTGGCAGATGTGACACACATTGTGACCTTTATTTTCAACTCTCAACAGAAACAACGAGGAACCTCTGCAGTACACAAAGAACTTTCAACCTCAGAACAAAAGAGCCAAAGCGATCAGAGTGTTACTCTACGGACCGGTCGGTGCGGGGAAGTCCAGCTTCATCACGTCTGTCAACTCTGTTTTACAAGGGAGAATGACCAACAAAGCTCTGGCCAGTGCCACAACCTCTGATCAAAGTTTCACAAAATCGGTCAGTATAACTTCTAATTAACGTTGAATATTTATTCTTATTTTTACACCTGAGCAGCTAAGTGCAGTGAAAGCCTATTGTGATCATAGTTCATTATTTTGTTCCGTCTAGTAGTCTAGTCTAGTCTAGTAGTCTAGTCTGCCATCACATGTTTAGTGTGACCAGTTGCTACCAGTTTTTGAGCCTTAGTCTTCTGCTCTGGCTGTGCTGTCTGGATTACTTGTATGCTTTTCATCATTAAACCATCATCATCTTCAACTACCTGAGTACTGTTGCATTTATCCTCACCTTCTTCACCCCCACATCATGACCGAAACCATTGTAAAAAATGTGGATGCATCAGACCTGCCTGCATGAAATTTACGTATTTTTAAGGCTGTCACAAAAATCGCAATAGAAATAGCTCAGCAGTTACCCCAACAGCTTTCAAAATACCCTCTGCATTGACCTTACTTCATTAAAAAAAAATCATTAAAATTGATACACTTGCACAGCTCCACAAAACCTACAGAAAACTCTCTGGCTCTCATGGTCTACACACCAAACAGGAAGTCAGACATCATGGATTGAAGTTTCAATTTTGATCCCGTTTGGATAGTTTACAGACTCCGCATTTGATCGAACTCCTGCTATGGATTTTGATCAGTCTGTTTCAAACTTGATGAGTTTGTTCGTATGGCGCGTGACAGTAAACCTTACCAAAACAATAATTGTGAATCTCTATTTCTTTCAGTATCAAACCTATAAAATCAGGAAAGAAGGCAGAGGAGACTGTTATCCTTTTGTGTTCAATGACATCATGGGTCTGGAAGACGAAGATGGAAGAGGAGTCAGAGCAGAAGACATCAAACTGGCCTTGAAGGGACATGTGAAGGATGGATACAAGGTACATGTCGTTTTTGTAAATACTTTTCAGCCGTCACTTTTACACCCAGCTTTAGGATCTCTAAGTTACATACATACATAGAACTGTCCCAAATGTATAATTTTTTAAGGGGGATTTAACATATCTTTTTCTTTTTACACAGTTCAGTCCTTCATCTTCAGTTTCTGCTGGTGATCCTGGCTACAACGCTTTTCCCTCCATCAGTGACAGAGTCCATGTTCTGGTTTGTGTTTATTCTGCAAATGCGCATCAAATGAAATCCTCTGTTCTAAAGAAAATGAAAGAAATCAGAGAAGCAGCCAGTGATCTGGGTAAGAAACAAAAATATAAACTAAGCTTGCATTCAGTAAAGTAATGTAACCGCAAACATAAAAAAGCAAAATACTCAAATTTTATTTCAAAAATCATAGAGGTTGCATGAAGTAGGTAGAAAAACCATGTAGAAAAGAAATTAAAGTAACATTTCAGTCTTTTATACATGATTTCATGATTTTCATCTCTAAAAGTTAATCTTGGAAGAATTACTTATATATACTTGTTAAAATCTGTTTATTGCCAATGCAACAAGATACAAGAAAAGAAAACTGTCTCCACAGGAATCCCTCAGCTGGCGATTCTCACCCACATTGACTCAGCCTGTGGAGAAACAGAGAATAATCTGAGAAACGTCTACAGGAGCAAACATTTAAAGAAAAAGGTGAATCAGAGAGAGATTTATTCAAAACAGAAAAAAAAATGAACTGGCACAAAAAATGTTTATTCTTTGAAATGTAGATGGGTGACTTCAGCTCCAGTCTGGGGATCCCAATGAACTGCATCCTCCCAGTGAAGAACTACAGCCAGGAAACTCAGCTGGATCCAGACGTCGATGCTCTTATCCTCAGTGCTTTGAAACTGATGATTGACTTTGGAGATGACTACACTGACACACTGTTGGAAAAATTTTACCATAATCAGTATATTATATACTTTCTCATTGCCTTTTTATCTTCTGCATACTACTTTTATGCTTAGTTGTACTTCTTCCATCCATCCATCCATCCATCCATCCATCCATCCATCCATCCATCCATCCATCCATCCATCCATCCATCCATCCATCCATCCATCATCCATCCATCCATCCATCCATCCATCCATCCATCCATCCATCCATCCATCCATCCATCCATCCATCCATCCATCCATCCATCCATCCATCCATCCATCCATCCATCCATCCATCCATCTTCCTACACCCTTATCCCTAGTGGGATCAGGAGGTGCTGGTGCCTATCTCCAGCTGACGTTCACTTCTTTACTATATATATTCGTTTACTCATTTGTTTTTTATTTGCTAAGAATTATTTTTGCACTTATTGATTGATGTGAGGTAATATTTATGTGTTTGTTGCTGTTAACCTATGTTTAGAGACATCGGATTGTTTTGATTTAGAACAATGGACATGTAAGCTGGGAAGTGAGACTTTATGGTTTATGAAAAGGTTCAGGTTTATTGGTTGTTTTCTGGCTGAGGTGAAGACTGGGTGCAGAAGATAATGATGCGTTGCTTGGGGGGTTGGGAGGTTTCCAGAACTGAGCGTACAGCATGTGTAAATATGGGTGAAGAAGAATAATAGTGAGAGCGTCTCTGTGTTAGTTAGAAGGTTGATGACTTATTGTTCCTCATTTTCTTCTCTCTGATCAAGAAAAGCCTTGAAATGAACTTTCAAATCCATATTATTCAAATAAAAACAGATTTTTACTCAATGTACTGAATGTTTCATGTCTCTAGATCACATAATCTATTAAAACTGAAAGTAAAAATAAAATTCTTCAAATTGCTCAGTCACTGAGTTTTTTGCCATTGCATCGGCTCTCCTTCCCTGAAGCACATCAACTGTTCAGGTTTACCAATCAGCCCAGTTCTTCGTGTTTGAGCAATCAAACCCCCAGAATTTAAGCTCTTCTGTATCAGTCACTCCTTGCTGGTTCCTCCAGTCATTTCCCTTTGCTGCCCCATATTCTCCCAATGACTGGATGTTGTTAGGTTTATTTTGCATTTTATAATTTTTTTCTTTGAATCATCAAATTTAAATCCTGCCTTCGTCTCTCTGTGTTTTGGTCCTACAACTTCACCAACCTTCAACATGATACCAGGCAAGAACTTTCTAATGACTATCAGGTTAAAACTGGACCATATTTCCAAAACTCACCTTGGGAACGGCCGATTGTTGCTTCTTATGTCAAGGCTGCGTCACTCCTATCATCTCTTGGACACATTTGAAGGGGTGACATTTAATAGACCCACTCAACCTCAACCACAACTTGCCTCATTTCAGGATCATCCACCACAATTTAAGATCACTCCTCATAGGTCACCTCCACCCATCCTCGCTATTTCTGTTACTGTCTTCATGATTCCCAACTTGCTCCACTTATCAAAACTTTAACACCCTCTATTCACTCCAGTTTTTCAGCAGCAGCCTCCTTGTCTTCACCATCACCTCTCCCTCAACCTTCAAGCCTGCTGCAGAACCAGCAGCGGCGCCTGCCACGTCTTCTTTGCCATAAACCACTGCAGGAGCCAAGCTCCTCGTCTGGCGCTGCTGCCCTGCAGGCATCAGACTCCTCCAACCTCCAGATCCTCTCTGAGGGTTTCTCTGGCCTCACGGCCTCCAAAGTCCCTGCTCTTTCCTTGCCAGGCTGCCAGAATCTCTGCTCCGTTGTCGCTGCCAGACTCCAGACTCTTTCATGATCTTAAGAACTTTAGTCTTATTTTTGTCCTAGCCCTTCTTCTGACCCCCCCTCACCCTCCTGGTTTGGGTAGTTTTTCTCTTCAGCAGTCTGGTATCCGCCTTGAGGGGGGAAGTAATGACACAAAGACTTGCATCCACCCTGAATTAAATTATTTTATAGCTTTTAAAGCTACAAAAAAATTATCTATTATTATTTGTAAAACAAAATACTCTGGGGAGGAAAAACTAACCATTCATTCTCACACTTTCTCTCATAGTACATTTTGACCCAGTCATGGGGAGTGGCCCTTCATCACCTGGTAAGTAACACAGGGTGGCTTGATGCATTATTCTGCGAATGCATCAGAAATTAAATCCTGTTTTACAGAAAATGAGGGAAATCAGAGAAGCATCTGGTGAGTTGGACAAGAAACAGCAAATATGCGTCTAGAATATTCTGCAGTGAAGGATTTTTTTTAATGTCATCACAAATGTTTCATCACACTCCTGTGTTCTAGTAATTTCAATATATTGTTTGAATAATACATTTAGAGTTTCTTGAGAAACTCCATGTTTTAGAGTCTGTATCTCCACAGGAATCCCTCAGCTGGCGATTCTCACCCACATTGACTCAGCCTGTGGAGAAACAGAGAAAAATCTGAGAGACGTTTACAAGAGCAAACATTTAAAAAAAAAAGGTGAATCAGAGAAAATATTGTACCAAAACTAAAAAAATGATTGTGTTATATGTAGATGGGTGACTTCAGCTCCAGTCTGGGGATTCCAATGAACTGCATCCTCCCAGTGAAGAACTACAGTCATGAAATTCATTTGAATCCAGACATCGACACTCTGATCCTGAAAGAGTTGAGGCTGATGATTGACTTCGGTGACGACTACGCCGACAAACTGAAGATGCACAATGGTTTGTGTGAATATGCACGAAAATCTCAGCAGTAATATTGGTTATATTATTGCATAGTTGTTGAGGAAATCATAGCGGATGAGCAGGAACCAAGTTTGAAAATGTCAGTCCTCGTGGGAAAACAAGTGCCTGTAGTCGCTCAAAAAATATTTTTAGAACTGTGATGAAGAACTGTGATGGACAAAAACCTTGCAAAGCATCATTTTACATGAAATTATTAACATGTAAATTGGCAACAATATTGCTATGAACAAATGAAAACTTTGAAAAACAATTAATACTAAAGCAACAATGACATAAGAAATGATCCCTTGTTCAGCTTGTTACATCTGTCCTGCTTAATAATTTACTTTGAAGGGCAGTGTTACTGTGTTTTAATAAAAATAATAATTATTTAGTTTGATGGAAAGAGTTCTGCAGATTTTACATATTTTCTAGCTTTAATAATGATCTCCTCCTAATAAATTTTCTCAGTAAAACAAAACTTATGCATAAATTATATGTAAGTGGTAGAGCTACTTCAACGTATTTTACTTAAGACTAAGAAGCGTCCATCTCAGAAATTACTTTTGTATAAAAACATTATTTCATTAAAATGAAAAGAAAGATTGATCAGAACATCTGATTAAATATTTAACAATGATTTCATCAGGCAGGAACAATATGTTGTGTACAAATAGTTTCAAAGACTGAAATTGAGAAAAAAAATAACATGATTACAAAATAACAGATTAATACCGAACAAACAGAGTCTGTATTTTTCATTTCAGCCTCTAGGTGGCGCCTTGAAAGTGAAAGTGAATTTCTCTATCCTGGCCTCATGAACGATGGATGAACGTTTCAGGAAAAGGTAGAAAAGACTTTTCTTTATTTAAAAAAAAACAACAAAAAAATAATTTTAGAACTAAAACATCCTGTTCCGAACCCGTCATTCGGACCTGAAGGTGTTGATGCAGAGGCCGCATTCACTGACCGAACCCGAACCCTCTAGTGTATTTATGACCGGTACTTTTCACATATATCCGACATTTTGGACTTTTACTGAACTTCTGGATCTAGATTCAACCTGATAATGCCTATCCAGAATATGGTTTTACCTCATTTTCAAGAATATTTCTCCCAAATCCGAAATCGTGACAGAATAAAGCTACAATTTGTATTTTAAAGTCACCAGTTTAACCGGAACAAGCCGCAATAAGAGCCTGACATAAATGTTTTCTCGTGTCAAGATCTTATTTTTTTTAGTCTTGGTTTCTTCAGCTTGCTACACTTTATGTAATAAAAATAAAAAAAGTCTTGAACTGATTAAACTGTGGTTTCTGGATATTAATCCAGATCTGTTGCGAAGAATAAAAGATGTTTTTAATTTTTTTATTTTTCACCTTAGACATCATTTTTCCCTCACTGTGTTGGAAAGAAAGATGAGAAGACAAACTTCAAGACCATGTGAGTAAATACTACAAAATCATATGCATGAGATGTACGCACATTGGCCACTTTATTAGGTACACTCTTGCAATTCTGTTTCAACAGAGAGCATATCTACCAATCAGATAGCAGCAACTCACAGTGAAAGCTAAATCCCTAAAGGTTAACATGGGCATCAAAGTGGGAAAGAAAGGGCGATGATTCCTACTAGATATGCTGATATGCATTTTCTCATTTTAAAGATATATTTTGCAACCAGAATTTCTTTTTACATTTACATTTAAAAATATGGTTTGAAAACCTAAAATAATAATTTTTCTTGTGTTTAGCTTCTCCATCTTCCTCACGTGAGTAGAAGAGTTTTAATTTTTGATGCTTTCCCTGAAAATAAAATTGAGCATTTTAATTTACCTGTTAGACTGTTTACTCACTCCTTGTTTTTAATCTTGTTTTTTTAATATATACTCAATGCACTTTTAGCAGATTGACTTTTAAGAAAATAAATTACTCAAAATCTCTTTTTTGCAGTTTTTGCCAATCCTTGGATCTACGTTTCCTGGGGGTGAGTGACTGTGCTTATATGCCAATGATGGTTCTCTTGCATTATTTTGACATCCAGCAAACAAATATCTTCACCTATAATTAAGTTAATAAGACTTGGGAAATGCAGAAATAATAAGCCATATAATGTCACATTAAAACAAAGCATTTAATGTTCTGTAAACTAATTACAATGTCCAGTTAAACTTCTGTCCTGTTTGCCTTTTATTTCCTCATTTTAACAGAGAACATGAGAGAGATCTGCATTATGTGGCCAATTTTCGACCAATAAATGGAGTCAGACACATCAGAGTTCTGCTGTATGGACCGGTCGGTGCCGGGAAGTCCAGCTTCATCACTTCTGTCAGTAATGCTTTGCGAAGGAGAGTGACCTGTGAAGCTCTGGCTGACGCTGCTAACAGTTCCGGCCAAAGTTTTTCGAAGAAGGTTATTATTCATTTTTCTTTGTTTTGAGACATGAAATAGATAACATC